GGAAGGAAGGAAGGAAGGAAGGAAGGAAGGAAGGAAGGAAGGAATAGCACTTAGACATATACCACTTCATAGTGCTTTACAGCCCTCTCTAAGCGGTTTACAGAGTTAGCATATGGCCCCCAACAATCTGGGTCCTCATTTTACCAACCTCGGAAGATGGAAGGGAAGATTCTGACCAACCTTTCTATATTATAACTCACTCCACAGGGCTTACTATATGCAAACCACTAACACATTATGCTTATAGCAGCCGCAGCTGGATCTTTATCAGTATTGCCAAAACACATCTCTAGGAAATGAGAAAGAGAACACTTCAGCCAAAACAGTACACCGACGTGCAGGACAGAACGAGAAAGGACAAAACAAGATTAGGCAAAAAAAAAAAAAAAGCTTTGCAACATGTGTCAAGTATCACTGAAGAACTCCTCTGCGCCTGCTTTCTCTGACACATAGTTTTGCACATATGCGCCTCTGTAGGAATAAATCATGTAGGTAATGCAACTGAAGACAGAAAAGACCAGAGAAGGAAAACCTACAGATGTAACACTGTAATTCTCAAATTGAAAATAGTTATATGGTTTTATATAAATGCCCAGCTAGAAAACTCTGTATTCTGTATATGTCACTTTGCAATAACACCGCAAGGAAGAGTCCATTGGAATTGGGAAACTAATACATTGAAATTAATAATATTTTGAAAGTCCCCCACCTAAACTACAGTACTATGTTTGGTTGCCAGAATTGTTATAGACTCCATGAGAAGAAACACTTTGGGATTTGAGCAGATGCTGGAGAGCATGACCACCCTTCAGAAAAACAGAATTAGGAATGAGGGGACTCAGAGGACTCAATGAATTATGGCGAGATGGGGGGGGGGTAAGGAGTGGAGTACCTAGGAGAGTGACATCCTGGCTGGCATTTCCTAGGGGTAGAACTGATCCCTAGAAATGAAGATATATGTGGGCTGGCTGCACTTTCTAGCTGTAGAAATGATACCTAAGTATGGGGACATACCTGGCTGGCTGGAGTTTCCTAGATGCAGAAATGGTACCTAAAAATGGGTGTATACCTGGCTGGCTGGCATTTCCTAGGTGCAAAAATGGTACCTAAGAATGGGGGTGTTCCCGGCTGGCTGGCATTTCCTAGGTGTAGAAATGGTACCTAAGAATGGGTACGTACCCGGCTGGCTGGCATTTCCTAGGTATAGAAATGGTACCTAAAAAAGGGGGTGTACCTGGCTGGCTGGCATTTCCTAGGTGTAGAAATGGTATCTAAGAATGGGGGCATTCCCGGCTGGCTGGCATTTCCTAGGTGTAGAAATGGTACCTAAGAATGGGGGGCGTGGCTGGCTGGCTGGCATTTCCTACCAGTAGCTATAGAAGTGGATACCTGAGAAACACCTGGCTGGCACTTTCTAACCGTAGGAATGGGTGCCTGGGAATGGAGGCACCGCTGACTGGCTGGCACTTCCTAGCTGCAAAGTAAAAAGGCTGCTCCTACAGACGTGACTAAGGTTATTGCCCCCTCCTCCATTATTACCTCCCCCTAGTATTACCTCCCCATAGGTCTGGGGGATTCGTATTGGAGGGAGGGGTGACAGCTGAAACCTCGCCCCCCACAGCCATGACAGTCGCTGCGGAGGGTCCCCGGTCGCGGCTAGAGCCGGGCCCGCCTCCCCTTCCCGGCTCCCCAATCCGGCCCTTGGCTTACCCAGCCTCGGAAGACTCCGCGCCCCCTCAGCTCAACCACCAACTCTTCTCTTCTGCCCCAACCGGAAGTCCCGACGCTCAGAAGACACCTCACTTCCGTCCGGAACGTACCAAACGCGTCGGTCGACCCCCTTCGCAATTTTTTTTTCCTCTTTCTCTCCCTCTTCTTCTTCTCCCTCTTTCGAGTATCCCGGAAGCGTCTGGAAAGGATGGTTTTGAACAAAATATTTTCGAATTTCTCCCAGGTCCGTGGCCTTTTCCTCGCCTTCTCCCCCCCTCTAGGGCTGGCTAATGGTACAGTCCATAGAGGCTCCCGAGATGTTGTCCTCCTAAGCTGGACAGGCAAAAGTGGGTCCCGTGGCTCCCGCTGATTGGTCCAAAGTCTGGGCTCTCCTCCAATGGAAAAATGGCTGCCGAGTTTGGGCGATGGGGACGGAATAACTGTTGCTAGGCGAAAAAAAGGAGGGCTGGGAAGGTGGCGGGGAAGGCTGGGGTTCTGGGTTCGAATTCGCAAGAGGCTTGCGCGTGCGCCGGCGCACATTCTATCGGTAGCTTTCGTTTACGCTGGTGCAAACTTAGCATGCAAATACGACCGAGGAATCAAAACGGAGTCACAAAAAATGCAATCCTGTGCATTAGTCAGCATTGATTTCCATCTTCCTCGTTGTGTTTATATCCATTTGTATTGCATTCTAATCTAGAACGTAGAATCATAAGGCTTGGAAGGGAGCTAAGAGGTCTTCTAGTCTAACCCCCTGCTCAGAACAGGAGACCTTACACTATCCCACTCAAATGGTGGTCCAGTCTGTTTTTAAAAACCGCCAGGGATGGAGCTGCCACAACACCAGTAGCATTTAATAAAATAAATAAATACAATGAATAAATTAAAACCTTGAAATGCTTGTTGCTGTCTGGGTTATTGGCTTGCAGGCGTTTCATTAGCCCATTAGGGAGCATCATCAGCAACCCAGAAACTTCCCAGTTCAATCCTAAACTGCAGATATGCTCTCCTAAGTAAGCCATGCTTAAAAGTACAGGCAGTCCTTGACTTAATGAGTTTATTTAGTGACCAAAGTTAGAACATCACTGAAAAGGGTGATTTGTGATCATTTTTTACACTTGTGACCATTGCAGCATCTCCAGAGTCGTGTGATTGACATTCAGATGCTTGGCAACAGGTTCGTATTTAGATTAGATAATCTTTCTTGTTATTTTTCCCCTGTGGGCACAATGGTGCACATTAAAAATGAAATTTAGTTGCTTCCTCTCAAAATGTATACATACATAACACACACATTTAAAACATACCATATACAACACCCTTACATATAAGTAACAAATATTTGATGGTTGTGGTTGTGTGGTAGCCCAAAACACAAGAAGAGCAACACATTAGGAAAAACTTTAAAACAGGGGTCTTTAAACTTGGCCCTTTTATGACTTGTGGACTTCAACTCCCAGAATTCCTCAGCCAGTGTGCCTGGCTGAGGAATTCTGGGAGTTGAAGTCCACAAGTCATAAAAGGGCCAAGTTTGAAGACCCCTGCTTTAAAAGCTCCCTCGGCTTGGCAGCAAACCTCTCTTAAAACGAAGCACAATTTGGCATTTTAAAAAAAATTAAAACACTTTTTTTAAAAAATCCCAGCAAAGCAGCAATTGCGCCAGCTACGCTTGATTGACAGCTCGCCCAAAACACGGGGAGGGAGGGGGCACGAATTATAAGAGAAGAGACTTATCCCAGTTATACCCCGCCTTCTCTTAGCAGGGATTGGTCCAGCCGGAGCGGCAGTCGAGCCTATAAACAGTGGCGCTGAGGGAAGTGGGCGAGGCGAGCCGCCCCGCCCACCCCTTTGCGCTTGTTCTTTGGGTGGTTGTCGCTCTGCTCAGGTGGGAGTAAAAGGGCGGGAAACCTTTGGCGGGAAAAGGCTTGGTGGGGAATGATGGAAGGAGAAGAAGCGCGGCCATTTTTCCCCTTTTTGGTGTCTCTCACATCCTCGACAGAGACTGCCATTAATCATTGCTCTTTTTGCATGAAACCCCTTGGTTGAATACTCCCATTTGAGGGTGTGTGCATATGCAATTTGGAGCTCAACTTAACCCAGAAAACAGCAAAATAAGGGATCATTTAGGGTTTTTTTTTTCCCTCCCCCTAAACTCTGCAGTCCTGTCAGGATGGCAACAAAAACAGTCCCCAAAGGAAGTTTACCTGCTATGGCTTATTCAAAAGGGGGAGAAATGCATCTCAAAGGATGTTCTTATAGCAAGGAAGGATACAAGTGTTGCAAAACTGTATTTTGCATTTGTGGCATTTTTTTTTTTTTTTGTTAAGGGGCTAGCTCATAAAAAAATGGGAGAGGAGAAAAAAAATGTGAGGGGTGCAGTTTGGAGTAGGTTTGAGGATTAGGAGATAATCTAAGTCCTGACAGGTTTAGTGTCTGGAAAAAAGTATGAAAATGTATCTTTAAAATGACTATCTCCATGCAATACTTAATTCGTATCTGCTGGTTTTAGAAATGACGTGATAAAGTAAAATGTAAATCATAATTGGAAATAACTTCAGATGGATCCTGCTTGGGCCCATTTAACCCAAAACATCAAACACTTATGTGTGTGGGGTATTTTTGTAGCAAACTATTTGCTACGTGTTTTATGGGATCCCTTCCATAATATATCCTTCTTGTATTATAATTTGCATCATAAAAATATCTAATAAGCTCCAGGCAAAGTTTTGAATCTGTTCTAATTATTTCCAGTGGACAGCATGTTAAGGACTGCAGTTAGATGGGTTTTCAAAGCTGTAATTCGAAACAAACTCAATGAGAGTTGTTTTTGAATACTGTATTGCCGATGTGCATTGAGTGAGGCTATAGAAATAATATTCCCCTTTCCTAGGTATATCTGTAATAGGATTAGATTAGCCTGTACATGTAACCATGATGGTTAAGTCATGGTTTGTAGCCTAGAGTGTTTGGTAAAGCCAGTTGAATAATTTGTGCCACAATTGAGGCAAATCCTTGCTTAGTGCAATCTATGTCCCATCATTTATTCATTATTTAATTAAATTTCTACACTGCCCGTCTTACTTAAGTGACTCTGGACAGTTTATGTGTATAACATACAGGGCTATACTTGTCTACTTATGTGCAAAATTGAAAGTAGGGTTAATTCAGCACTGTTAACTTGGTTGTACAAACCCAAAATAGCTGTAATGTTGCTTTTGAGTCTTGAAATCTCCTTAAGTTGGCTATCCTTTTAACTAAAGCATTGCAGACAGACAGAACTTTATTTTGGCCATTGACCAATAAAGATACAGTCAATGAAATAAGCAACCCAAAACTATTCCCTAAGAAGAAGAAATATTAGCAATCATTTGTGGGCAAAGCTTACACATAATCTAGCAAAATTTTGCTACTTAGAGAAACAAATTCATCTTGTTTATTTAGCTATCCGGGTTGACTGGTAACAAAGTCCCTGTAGAGCTGGAAACAGAGAACAACATGGACTGTAGTTGCTAATAGGTTTTGTTGTTAGGGGACAGTTTTGTGGTGCTCATTTTATTGATTGCATTTTTATTGGTTAAAGACCAAAATATAACTTTTGTCTTTTATTGCATTTCAGTACACTATAAAGTTCTGTTTTGCCCCACCCAGTGCTTAGTGTACACAGTATTTATGGAATAATTGTATCTCTTCACTAGAAATATATGCATCTTGTGTTAAGCAAATAGTTGCCAAGGTATAGATGGCTATTTTGAGACTTTCCAATTTCTCTCCTCCTGGTGGGGGCACGGGGAAACAAAATAGGTAAAGCTGATGTTAGAAACTGGAGTGTAATTTAACTATTGTGCTCACTGAGTCTTGAAGGAGTTTAATGTGTTGGGAAGAAAAGTTTTAAAAAAACTTAATATGTAAAGTGGCTGCTTTTAAATTTGATGCATGAATGTGTTTCCCCTCCCAGGAAAGGCCATTTTGGGGCCTCTACTATCAACCACTTCAAAGAAAAATGCGAGACAGTCATAGTACTTGTGTTCCTCCTGCAGTCACTGCTGTAGTGAAGCCAGGGAACGCACGACAACGCGGCACGCAGGGTGCTTTGGCTTCTGGTGGTTCTACACAGGGGCTTGAGAGGGAACTTTCCACAACAGCCTTGAAAATTTCGCGGCAGCCATTTTTTCTGCTACGCAGAGAAGAACAAGAAGCATTCTTCAATCTCCTAGGTCTAGTAGTTGTATCTCCTTGTGCCGCTCAACCTTCCTTGGGGCAGAGATGGGCATCATTCAAAGCACAGCTAGCCTGCAAAAGAGACCCTTTGACTTAATCAATACACAACGTTTAACCATTGTGTTATTCACTAAATTCTGGCTTGGCCATTTTCTTTCTGGCAGCACAGTGCCTGATAAGCTTGCAAACCTTACCTTCAAATCTCTCTCCCCACCAAATTAAAAAAAAAAAAATGCAACTGCACTATCTCATCTAAATGTCAGGATCCAGAATGATTGCTGTCCAACCTCTGGTTTATGGCCTTGTGTGATGTGTTTTTTTCAGTAAATCATGGATTACCTGATTTAAGACATCTTCTGCACTTCGGAACAGCAAAATGTTTGATTTTAAGTCGATTAGGAAAAGACAAAATATTTTTTAGAATAGATAGCTGTTGAATGGTCTTGCTAAAAGCTTTATCTGTGAAAGTACAGTATATGTGAAATTATCAAAAATTAAGGTTAATTATATTTAAAAATATGTCCAGGAAAAAGTTGGATCTCCTCTTTCCCATTCAAACACAGGGTAATGTTGGTTTTTTTTTTAGGGGGGGCTAGTATAACAAATCTCTTTTAATGATTTCACCATTTTTTTCTGCTTTTCTCATTCTAAAGGTGTAAAAATGCAAATTCTATAGTAACAGCATATCATGCTCTTATTGTGCGTTATGATCAAGAGTTTGGTTTATTTAATAATACTTTTCAAGTGCTATAAGATGGCGTGAAATACTAGGAGGTAGTTTGTACTACCTGAACTTAAACTTTGTGTATAATAATGAATTATATAGCTTAAATGAGATCCCTCTACTTTATTTTCATCAGAAGATGGCTTGGTACAAGACTTCCTGTCTATGGACACGTGTTACAGAATCTCAGATAAGGTATGTTTCATGCATTAACACTTCTAGCATTAGAGCAATGTTGTATTCTTGTCCATTTTAATTGACAATACTGCAAGGTTACTTTTCACATAAATAGACAGGATGTTCCAGAATAGGCTTTTATTTGTTTTCATAAAACTTAACAGCTGTTGTTAAAAAAACAAAACAATTTTTTAGCAGGCAGTGGATAAAATGACCTTTGCCTCCATTTTCCAGAGTATATTATTTTAGTGTCCAGAAAAATAGGGTATATTGGTTAACGCTTTATATACTCTGCCCCCCCCCCAAATGCCATCCCACCTAAACAAGTGCAGAGAGTCCTCAACTTACAACCATTAATTTAGTAACCGTTGCAACGACGCTAAAAAGTGCCTTATGACTGTATTTCACATTTAAGTCTGTGGCAGCATCCCTATGGTCACATGATCAAAACTCAGGTGCTTGGCAATTGATTCATATTTATGACTGTTGCAGTATCCCGGGGTCATGTGATCATTTCTTGCGACCTTCTGACAAGCAAAGTCAATGGGAAAGCCAGATTCACTTAACAACTGTGTTACTAACTTAACAACTGCAGTGATTTCCTTAACAGCTGTGGAAAGAGAGGTCTTAAAATGGGGTACAACTCATTTAACTGCCTCCCTCAGCAACAGAAATCTTGGACCCAGTTGTGTAAGTTGAGAACTACACCTGTATATCAAGGAAAATTTATTACATTCTATTTTCTTTTTTTAATTTGAAATCTCCTTGTTTATATTATACGAGGCCTAATTGTAATATATTGTGTCGATAGTTTTATAGATGTACTGGTTATAGTTATAAGCACATCAGAAATAAAATTTGTTCCTAAATTGGACACCGGTAACCCAAAACTAGAGCCAATTGGTGTAATGGTAAATACACATCAGGCTTAAATCTCAGAAGACCATGAGTTCTAGTCCTGCTCCAGGCATGAAGCCAGCTAACAATAGTGATATGGGTAGTATGGACTTAAACTCACAATGACAGCTCTTCCGTGTTTTGTGTTGGCACCAGGAGGCAGCATGGACCCAGCGTGCTTAATTGTTTGCCTAACATCTGTGCTAAGCTACAGTGATAACGTTATTTAGCAACCCAAACTCAACCATTCAAGAGAAGATAATATGTTTCCCAACACACAGAGCTCCTGGTACTATAAGTCAAAATGGTTTGTTGGGTCTTTGTGACTTTTCTGTTCTTAGTGTATTTCCTTAATAAATGGAACAAAAAAACAGTCTGCTAGGAAGGGCTTAGCTGGCAAGCTGCCACTTACCTTTCCCTTTCAATAAAGCCTAATCTCCAAATCTACAGAGCCAATAACAGCTTTTCTAATAAAAGCAGGTGGTTATTTTGGCTCTTCAGTTCTGCTTCTATGTATGTATTTGATGATTTCCTCTTCCCTGTCCCTATATTACAATTTTGGTCTTTGAAAATATTAAAGCTCACTTTTTCATTCAGTATCTTATCGCCATGACTATGATGTACTTCAAACGAGCCGGCCTCCATACCAAAGAATATACACGGATCAATCTCTTCATAGCTCTGTAAGTAGTACAACGGTTATCTTTTGAGCTTCATGGCTGTCCTATAATTCTTCATTTGTTTTGCTTTAAAGCTTCCAAGATTTTTTTTCATGCTCAGGTCATTTAAAGATATTAACATATCTGGACAGAGCTTAGGGTTGGAGATGGCTAGTTTATTTAGGAAATAAATCCCACCAAATTCAGAATTGACTTTGCATTCTTGTTCAGAAATAATGCACAATCTATCACTGGGTGATGCGGAGCAAAGGATACACTGTAGAAATGGAAAAGAAAACATAATATGTTGACATTTGAATTTTTGGGTACTCTAACATAAGAGGGTATCTGTAGCTCAGGGCTGAATTGTGGAAGCCTTGGTGCTCTCTGAGGTTGTTTGTTTGTTCATAGATGTTTCATTACTCAACTAGATAACATCTTTGCTAAAAGGAAGTGGGGTTTTCTTTCTGTTTATATCTACCCTGTCAGCATAGGTGGGGATGTTATTTTCTCTTTGGTAGTTCCTTATTTAGGCTATTATTTAGAATCTCTCCTTGCTTTCTACTACTCCCAGTGGAAGATGGGCAATCCACTAAATTATTCCCATGCTCCTCCAAGCTGCTCTAACATCAGACTTCATACTGTGACTAGATTGTAAAAAGTGATGTATTTCAAACTGAGAAAGTGTCTCAGCTTTTCTTGAGAAATTACGCAGTATTACGTCACTGAAGGAATCCCGGTGGCTTTCCCTGCTTCCCACATCTCTTTGTCTTAATTACAGGTACTTAGCCAATGACATGGAAGAAGACACAGAAGACTATAAATATGAAATCTTCCCCTGGGCACTTGGTGACAACTGGAGGAAGCTATTTCCAGATTTCTTAAAAATGAGAGATGGTTTTTGGGCTAAAATGAAGTACAGGGCGTTCGTTAGCCGGAGATGTTGTGATGAGGTCAGCTGCAGTTTGATCTGATTAAAACGGGTGGCTTGATGGAGGGAAGGGCGGAATTATTTCCCCTACTGCACCCTACAGGGAACCAACCCTACAGGAGATATTGACAGCGGGATGGGGGAGTGATGGAGGATAATTAAGGGAGAACCAGAAACAATGGAATAGATTTTAATGTTATGCATCGTATGCATATGGTGTGTCCAAAGTCACTCTTCTGGGTTAGAAAAAAAAGTCACCTCCTTGATGTCCTGCAAAAACAATGGCCCAATATTCTCATTAAGTATAAACCAGCTTCCTTGTCTCTACAAGGTCTATACTAGTGGTTTTGTAGTTGCCTAACAATGAAAAAAATATTTGTTTTCACAAGTATGATTTTTAGCAGAACGAGTTTGATGTAATAGTTAAGACACCAGATTAGAGACTGGGAGACCAAGAGTTCTAGTCCTGCCGTAAGTACACAGGCAGCTGGGTGACCCTGGGCTAGTCATCCATTCCCAACCCCAGGAAGAAAGAGGCAAGGGCACTTCTGAAACCCCTTGTCAAAAAACCCCAGAGGCATGTCCGGGTAGATGGCATACAAGTTTAATCAATAAAAATAGATGCCACGAAGAGAACATAGCCACCAAATTTAGTAAGATTTGTTGAGAAAAAGAGATGGGGTTCACACGAAAGTTCCTGCATGTGAAAGTTTGACCATGTGGACCAGTAAATTCCAGTGTACATTAAACCGAGAAAAAAACAAAGATTTTTTTTTTCCTAACTGCATGTAAGCAGCAGGTCTCTTCCCCTGAAAACGGAGATGTTTCATTCTGATCTTGACATAACGGTCTCCTGAAGCCAAACTCTTGTAACTATCAGGCTTCCTGTTATCTCTAGATAATGCTGAGAGACCCCTCGCACTGGGCCTGGTCCCGTGAACGAGCGTCTCACCACAGCGGGGCGCTGAGAAGTTACCTGAAGAATGAAAACGACTTCTTCCCCAGAGGGCCTGGCCTTACACCCCCCATGTGCCTTCTCTGCGTTTGGGACGTGGAAGAAAAGGAGGCTCAGATCAGCCCCCCTGCCAATGACCTCTTGTCCTCAGAAGCGTTGAACGGAGATTTGGAAAGCTGTCCTTTCCTAGTGTTGGATTCAGAGACTAACTACACTATGATGCAAAGTAAGTATCCTAATGTTGGATTCGGAGACTTAACTACACTAAGTACTTGCTCGATTTGACTTCAGGGGTCTGTTGTTAATGCGTCCTTTTGAAATTTACATTTCGAAAAGAAGGAAAAATGCATTCTTTTGAAATCTGCATTTCGAAAGGAATGGAACTGACGACCTCAATTGAGCCCAGAAGTTCTATTGCTAAGTGAGACATTTGTTACACGAATTTTGCTCCAGTTTACGACCTTTCCTGCCACAATGGTTAAGTGAGTCACTGCAGTTGTTAAGTCAGAAAGGCAGTTAAGTGAATCTGGTTTTCTTAACTGACTTTGCTTGTCGGAAGATGATCACATAACCCCAGGACGCTCCATCATAAGTATGAGTCAGCTGCCAAGCATCTGTATTTTGATCCCGCGATGCTGCAACGGTCGTAAGTGTGAAAAATGATTACAAGTCCCATTTTTTTCAGTGCCATTTTAATTTCGAATGGTTACTAAATGAACTCTTGTTAAGTTGAGGACTACCTGTACATTCTTTTGAAATCAATCTTACACATTTGGTTTAAACAGAGTAGGGCTAAAAGTTAGAAATAAGCCTGACACCCAATAAGCATAGTTTTTTTTGGCTGATTTCCAATGACAGAACGATCTGTTTAGATTTGTGAATCTGATAACTAGATTATCTAGTACATAACTGTTCTACCCACAAGATTATTCATTTCACAGTTATCTTCATTGTTTGTTCATCCACCCTAGAGCAAACTGAACTTGGCCTATTATCGCTGTGTTGAAGTTAACACTTAGTGTTGGGGCATTCAGAGGGATAAGCCTGTGCCAATGTTGTGATAAATTTCAGAGTGGTGAAACGAAGCTTTCCAATTCTCCTGGGGTACTTTTGGAAGCGTCACCGAAGTTTCTTCCAGCTCATAATAATTTGGCTTTTATCCTTAGATTCAGGTTAAGATGAAATTACAGCTGGTCCTTGACTTACAACGGAGACCAGCATTTCCGTTGCTAAGCAAGGCGCCTGATTTTATGAGCGCTCATTTTTTTGGCCAGGGTTGTTAAGGGAATCACTGTAGTTGTGTTAAGTGGAACATGCAGTTATTAAGCGAATCTGACTACCTCCCCACATTGACTTTGCTTGTCAGAAGCCAGCTTGGAAAATCAGTTAAAAACACATGTTGGTTGCCAAGCACCCGGATTTGGATCATATGACCATGGGGATGCTGCAACTGTTGTAAATGTGAGGACCGGTTGTAAATACCTTCTTCCAGTGCTGTTGTAACTTAAAATAGTCGCTAAATGAATTGCTGTAAGTCAAGGACTACCTCTAAATCAGGCAGATATTCCTCAGAAGGAATTGAATTAGATGTCCTTTGGGGGAAGGCCAATTTATTTATGGATTTAGCGTACGGCATAGCATACATGGACTAGCAATATATATTAACTTTTCACCCAGATTAGTAAACACAATAAAAATAGAAACGTTACAAAGTTCTATGTTCAAATACCAATGTCTAAGCCATCTAACCATTAAAGCACAGCATCATTTAGCCCTTCCAGAGTTAAGATTTTATAGGTGTAAATGCTAAATGAGCAGTTGTAAGTTTAGGACTACCTGTACAGAGCAGAAAGAAATGGATTATTCCTTTACTAACGGCAACTAAAATGGCATCAAAGAGTGATTCAAACCTTTGAATCCTCCCAAATTTGTCATTATGTTTAAGAATGCAGCATTCTCTTGCCCCACCCAATACAAGAATTTCATCATTCATCATTTGATTACTTTTCAAGCCAAATACATGTAACTACTCACTGTACCCCCCCCCCCGCGTAATTTGACTATTCTGCAGTGCTTTGGATTACTTTTAAAGTGTGCTGGAACCACACAGAAGTTTGAATGCAGGACTTACTTAAATTTCATTAATGCATAGCCACTTTTGGCTAAGAAACTGAGAGAAGTGAAAGTTTGATTTTAGGATCCGGTGATTAGGATTATATGGAGTTCCAGAAATTATTTATACCCCAGCTTTTATTTTACAAATAACTCAAGGCGGCGAACATGTCCAACGTTAATTCTAGTTGAATTAGAGTTGAATGTTTTAATCTGTACCACAAGAAGTTGGGAGCCGTTCTTTTCTTTCCTTTTTCTTTCGGTATTGCACTTTTATCTTGCTTTCCATCTGAGTTTCTTTTCATCTCTTTCACTTTGCTTCCTTTTTAGTCGTACTTTTGAAATTTAATAAAATATTTGAAAACTAAATTTCACTGAAACAGCAAGGGTCACGCAGCTGTAGTAGGGCCGTGTCCTCTACAGTGTTGGGAAAGGATGCTGCTATTTTAATGAACCCCAGATAGGTGCTACGTTCATCCTTTTCAGTGTTCAAGTACAGCCTCACAATATAATCTGAAGCATTGCACAGCCTGAATCTCAACATAGACTTTTGGTAGTCTTACAGGGACCCACCATGGAGACAGATGGAACAGAGAAAGTTTGGCAGTTCTTGGCATAATGGCTGATGGCTGAAGACCCCCTCTGCACACCAGATTTCCCCCCCCCATCGGAGTAGTAGTATTCTTGGATGTCCTTCCTCTTCCATCTACATCTGCGGCAAACTATTTATAAGCACTTTATCTTCCTGTTCGTAGAGAGGACACTCAGCAATACTTAACATATTTGTATATATATTAAAAACTATGAATTGTGACTTGTACAGTGCCAAAGTGTGCCGGTTGGACAGACTCTTAATAAAGACATCTAGGAGAACAGGCTGGCATGGATATATTTTCAAGCTTTTTATGACATTTTACTCTGGTTCGTTTGTTTATTTGTAGAATTACAAGCTTTTTATTAAACTGCTGTTTTAGCCCAAAGGCATCTGGAATAATTTCCAGAGCTATTAAAAAGTGACACTCCCTGTGCCCAGATATTCAGACACAAGGGCAAAAAGAGGAAGAGAAAATTTGAACAATTTCTAGTTTGTTACTGGTGCAGTCCTTGCCATTGATGTTTATGGTGGGAATTTTGGGGTGGCCCAGAGCAAAGTGAGAACTTTAAAGATTTAAAGCCATTTCTCTCTATTAGCGGTATCCTAATGCAATGGCTATGAGATTTCCAACTCACTTTTTTTTTGTACCTCGTTGGCCCTTCAGCCAGCTAATGAAATATTAGAAACCTAAAGTCAAATAAATGGAAAGGCAGGGATAAAAATGGTAATGGACACCTTCCTGTTAACTATATTAATATAACAACAGATAGGTCTGAAAAATCCGAATGAGAACACTTGTACTTGCTGGAAGTTTCTGAAACAGAGAGCTGGCAAGGATATCCTATTTTTATTTATCAAATTCAGAAACCACCCATCTCACTCTTAACTCCTTCACTTTTCTTCTCCCCGGTACAAATATGCTTTCTTTGAAGCAAAACTGCAAGGTTAAAAAAAATGAACATTTTGGGGGAAACGTTCTCTCTTTTTTTTAAGAATATGGTCTATCATCCAGGATTCTAGGCCCTAGCAACAATTTTAAATTGACTAGAGAGTGAATTGGAGCTGGCATAATAAGGCAGATTTCTCAGCCTTGGCAAATCAGCTGGTTTTGCCCTGCGTTTGCATTTTAGCTAGCCTGTGTGCAAAACCTGAACATAAACCATGGCTAGCCATGGGCAAACATACTATAGAAAGCCAGGATACAACAAAAGTCCATGTTCTAACAGCTGGGTAGTGTCGACTACTTTGCCCCAACCTCAACCATTTTAAAAGTATCTTTTCTTTCTCCCCACAACGTATATCAATATGATGGTTCGGACAATGGTGGTCTGAATCCAGACAGCGGCATATTAACTAGTGTCACAGATTAGTTTGATTTAGCGATGAAACCAGGAAGCTAGAAATAGGAAGATTATGAGTACTTGTTCCATTTTGGTCATGGAATCACCAGGAGATGGTGAGTTCTAGTCCTGCCTTAGGCATGAAAGCTAGCAGGTGACTGGGCCAATCACCTGGTGAATTCTAGTCCTGCTTTAGTCATGAAAGCTGGCTAGATGACTGGGCCAGTCACCAGGAGATGGTGAGTTCTAGTCCTGCCTTAGACATGCAAGCTGCCTAGGTGACTGGGCCAGTCACCAGGAGATGGTGAGTTCTAGTCCTGCCTTAAGCATGCAAGCTGCCTAGGTGACTGGGCAATCACCGGGTGCCCCTGCTTGAAAAAAAAACCTGGAACTTTGATACCGAGACCTCCCTAAGCCAGACCTGTGTACTACACACTAATAACTGACCGATTTGCTGGGAGAGAGCAATGGGTATTGTAGTCGCGCCCCGCTGGGCACAGTTTCTAACCTTGGCTGGGTTCCTAACCGCAGCCAGGCTGAAATGCAGCCGGTCTAGCTTCGCGGCTCTCTCTCTCTCTCTCTTCGCGCGCTTAGGCGAAGGTCAAAAAAGTTAGGAAACCAGCCGTTTTGGCTTAGCCGGCTGCACCTCTCCGCTAACCCGGCCCGCTTTGGGGATCGCGCGTTAGCAGGTCCGCACTCCCCCCCACCCACCCCCCGGGCGCTTTTTTTCCCTTCCCCTTTCGCGAAAGAAGCGAAAACCGGCTTTGCGCTCCGGGGCGCCGCCGGCTCCCTCGGGCGCGGCTCCCGCGGGTGTTGCAATGCGGGCAGAATGCGGAGGAGGAAGGCGACTTCGGCTGCTTCCAACCGCGGAAGAGGAGGCCAGCCGCCCAGCTCCCTTCCCCGCCCCGCTTCTGGGCCCTCCCGTCTCCCCGATCAACCGGGGATCGGAGAGAGAGTGACCCTCCAGGGCCGCCCCTCTTCCGTCTCCAACTGGTCTCCCCGGCCCGTGCGCTTTTGCGCAAGGATCCCTCGCCGCGCCCTGCTCCGGCGGCTTCCCCTTGGCTAACGCCCAGCGAGGGAGGAGTTGCTCTGCCACGGACGGGCGGAGACGGGGGGGTGCCCGAGCGACGCTCCTGCGCCGAAAAAAAACCCTTCCCTTACCCTCCTCCAGTGTAAAGATCGGGGCCTTTTTACTCCGTCCTAGGCCGAGGGGACGCTCCGGGCGCAGGTAAATACTTCGCGGGTTGGCTCCGGGAGGCGAGATTGGAGAGGGAAAATCCTGGAGTTTGGGATCCGGCTGGGATTGGCCTTTTGGGGGAAAAAAAAAAATACTCTTAGTGTCTGCCTATTACACAACCCGCTCTTCCTGGAGAGATCCAGCTTGGTTGGCCCTGTTCTTTCTTTAATTAAACTATTATTAAATTTGCTATTTGGGGAAAGTGAGCGCGCCCGCTTAAGTAGGAGCAGCGAAAGTGCTTAAGTTTGCTTTCTCTCTCTCTCTCTCTCTCTCTCTCTCTCTCTCTTTGGCCCTATGCAGCTTTAATGCAGAAAAAAGGGTACTTCTGAGCATGGGCAGAGAAGGTAGGAGTTCTCCTAGAGAGCAACTTTCTCTAGTTGGGTGGCAGCCACTGAACAGCCTGGTTATTTGCCTTGCAGAAAGATAAGGATTGTGCCAAGTGTTTGTGAGTTTCCCCCCAATCTGTTGGGCCTACATCTGGACTACAATTCCCTCAATCTCTTGCCTAAGTCGGATAGGTGTTGTAGTCAATGCATTGGAGGCACTGGGCTCCTTTGCCACTGCTTTGTGTTGGATTTTTTTGGGGGTGGGGGGGGCGTTGTTTCTGAGTTGTAAAAATACATATATACTCTTTGTATGTGGCATGCATATTTCATAGGCAAATAAAAAGGAATCAAAATTTTTGCCAAGTGAGTCACCGAGTCGGGCATCCCAGCCAGGTTTTATAGACACGACTTTTCAAAATTGTATCAGCAAGTTTCTAGACTCTTTGGAAGTTCTGGAATTAACTTTAGGCCTTCTGGATGCAAACCAGAGTCTATATTAGTGGCCTGCCTGCTGTAAACGATAATCCGAGGAAGATTCTAGTCCTCATGAAGTTGATGCTTTCAATCCGAAGATAGTTGGATCGTTCTACCCTCGTGGAGTGTGGTGCAAATATTTGCTACCTGTTCTCCAGACTTTGAAGCAATCATTTTTACAGCTGTTTCTGGAAACACCGTGGTGGTTCTCGGCCTCTGTTCACCACTTAATTTGGTTGTGTTGATGTATTCGTTTCCCGGAGAGGAGGATGCGATGCCTTTTGATGTGCAAACATGCAGGAGGTTTAAACAGGGAGTAAATTGTTGCCCCATCAGAAATCACTCTGGGTGTTTAGAGCCTCCAGCATTGCTCAGAGCAGAAAAACTTTCCAGGAAGTTGAACAGTCCCTGCATTTCAAAACTGAAAGCAGCCATGAAACAATAGCCAGCTGTGGAACTTTGGGGCGTGGAAAGACAAATTTCATGCCAGGTCTTGGGAGGAATAAAAATACAACTTGTCCTCAATGGACAACCACAGTTGGGAGCGAATTTCTGTCGCTAAGTGAGGCAGTCACTGAATCGCGGGCTATTTTACCGCCATGATTTCTGCCACGATTGTTAAGTGAATCACTTGGTCATTAAGCAAATCCAACTTTCCCCATCCGCTTGACTTGTTGGAAGCCAGCTGGAAAAGCCACAGAGGGTGATCAAGCAACACCAGGACACTGCAACAAGTCACAAATAGACGTTGGTTGTCAAGCACCCAAGGTGGATTGTGCGGCTTTGAGGATCCTGCAACAGTAGTAAATGTGAGGACAGGGTGTGGGTCAGAAACTAGAAAAAAAAAGGCCCCAAAAATTGCAGCCACGTGACTATGAGATGCTGCAAATGACCCAAAATGCAAGCTAGTTGTCGGGAATCCAAAATGTGATCACGTGACCATAGGAGTCGCAGCCATTGGGATTTCAAAATTGGGGGCTGTCGTAACTTTGAATAGTTGCTAAGTGACTGGTCGTTGAATGAGGACAGCCTGTCATTCAGTCGGCAATCTTCTTCCTGCACAGCAAGTGTTCTGCAATGGAACTGCAAAATATTGTGAGTTTCCTGCTTCCTTCCAGACCGTAAATGCAAATTTACCGAATCGTGTTGTCGTGGTTCTGACAGATGAAACTCTTCCAAGAACTTCGAAGCATTGTTTATCTTAAAGAATCTTTATTAGAGGAGCATAGCATCCGCACTGACACAATCGCAGCCAAAAACTGGATTCCCTCTCCCCTGAGCACATAGTATCAAAGCACAATTTCCTCCTCCAATTAACGGTCATAAATCACATTCCTCAATTAATTTGAAATGCAGGCTTTCCCTCCAGTTCTCTAGCCCTGTGGCCAATTCTTATCATCTCTTATTTCAATAACCTTGGTTCTCACACTAGGTCCAGTATTGTTGTGTCTAGCTAAACTCTCATGCACGTTCCTCCCCCCAGCATCATCTAACTCTAAATTCTTACTCTAAGAGTAAAACATGGGTCCAAAATGGTTGCATCTCCAACTGTTGTCAAAGCAAAAACATCCGATGTTAGCAGCGTTGACCCATATAATTAAATTGGGGTGTGTCAGCAGAAAGGGGAAGCAAAATCATCTCGCTTTTTCACGCTTGGGGAAAGGAAAAAAGAAGGTCAATGAAAGAAAGACTCTGGATCCAAGTTAATTCCTTGACTTATAACAGTATGTTTAGGGACCGTTCGAAGTTGCAGTGGCACTGAACAAGTGACTGATGAACATTTTTCACACTGATGACCATTGCAGCATCCTCGTGGTCATGTCATCAGAATTCAGATGCTTGGCAAGTGACTCATACTTATGACGGCTGCAGGGTCCCGGGTCGGTGGGGGAAGCCAGGTTCATTTAACAACCATGCTACTTATTTAACAATGGCAGTGATTCACTTAACTGTGGCAAGAACGGTCGTAAAATGGGGCAAAACTCACTTAACGAGCCTCTCACTTAATAAACCACGGTAACTTTGAATGGTTACTAAATGAACTGTTGTAAGTTGAGGACTACCCGTCTATTGATTATACTGTATCCAGCCCTGAGTTGCTCTCTGAGGGAAATGGGCAATTAAGAGAAAGAAAGAGAAAGTAAGAAAGAAAGAAAGAAAGGAAGGAAGGAAGGAAGGAAGGAAGGAAGGAAGGAAGGAAGGAAGGCGAGAGAAAGAAAAAAGATGAGAAAGAAAGAGAAAGAAGGAAAGAAAGATGAGAAAAACAAAGAAAGGCGAGAGAACAAAAGAAAGGCAAGAAAGAAAAAGAAAGAAAGAAAGAAAGAAAGAAAAGGAAAGGCGAGAGAAAGAAAGAAAAAAGAAAGAAGAGAAAGAATGGCGAAAGAAAGAAAGAAAGAAAGAAAGAAAGAAAGAAAGAAAGAAAGAAAGAAAGAAAGAAAGAAAGAAAGGGCCCATTCTTTGTAATCATGAGGGCCAGAAACTTGAAAGGAAGGAAGGAAATTCATTTCTTTGCCCACCACTGTAAGATTAGGCTATTTCCCCCCCTTCATTCTGGTAACATCTGCTTGTTTTCTTCACGTATGAAGAAAAGGGGGGGGGGGAATTCTTTGGAATGACCTAAATTCAGCAGTTAAATTTCTTAAGGGCTTTGACTTGTGCAAGAGTTATGTTGCTGAAGTTTATATTTTTCTAGGGAGAGTTCCGGGTTTTTGGAGGACATTCCTTATATAAAACAGATGTTCCCTTCACTAAACACGGAGACACATTTAATACAACGGCAGTCGCCATGCCAACTCTTAATTTAATATTTTTATCTTCAGGCTTGGCAGATTTTCACCCTGCAGCCAGCTTTACAGCATGCTTAGCCACTGCCGAGCAATTTTAGTGCAAACCTGCCTTATAAACCATGGTTTGTGGCTGAACCAAGTCATAGCGGCCTATTGAGCAACAGCAGGCTAGGGTTCCACAATGGGGTATAGACACATCAAGTCATAGCTTGTTTGAACTCTAAATAGCTTGGTTGACCCAAAAATAAATCATGTTGTAATAATAATAATGATGATGATGATGATGAAGAAGAAGAAGAAGAAGTTGGAAGGGACCTTGGAGGTCATCTAGTCCAACTCCCCCTCAGGAAGGAAACCCTATACCATTTTGGACAAATGTTAACACTCTACAGTGCTGAAGTTTATTTAACAACCATGTGTTCACTCTTAACCACCCTGCGATTTGCTTGTTGTTGTTGTTAATTGCGAAGTCGTGTCCGACCCGTCGCGACCCCATGGACAATGTTCCTCCAGGTCTTCCTGTCCTCTACCATCTTCTGGAGTCCATTTAAATTCACACCTACTGCTTCAGTGACTCCATCCAGCCACCCCATTCTCTGTCGTCCCCTTCTTCTCTTGCCCTCCATCTTTCCCAGCATCAGGCTCTTCTCCAGTGAGTCCTTCCTTCTCATTAGGTGGCCAAAGTCCTTGAGTTTCAACTTCAGGATCTGGCCTTCTAAAGAGCAGTCAGGGTTGATCTCCTCTAGGACTGACAGGTTTGAACGTCTTGCAGTCCAAGGGACTCGCAGGAGTCTTCTCCAGCACCATAGTTGATTTGCTTAACAACCACAATAAAAATGGTCATAAAATCAACTCTGATCACATGATGGCTCTATCTCCAGTCCAACTCCCAATCATGGTTACCAACCGCATGACTTAGCGACCGAAATTCTGATCCCAATTGTGTTTGTAAGTCAAGGACTGCCCATATTTTTTTCTTTTCAATTCTCATCTGAGGCCATAATAAATTCTGTCATCGACAGTTTTCCTACCAGCTAATCGTAGTATCTACTTTTAAGCTCTCTTTTATCTGTTTCAGGGAATTTGATTGCTTGGATAATCAACCAACATGTCAGAAGAGTTCATCGTTCCGATTTATTGCACTGGCGTCTCAGCTCAAGTCCAGAAGCAACGGGCCAAAGACCTGGGTTTGGGAAAACATGAGAATGCAGTCAAGTATTTGGCTCAGGATTTTGAGACGCTCCGCAACGAATGTCTGCAGAATGGGAGTCTCTTTAGGGATGAAACCTTCCCAGCTACAGCCTCTTCGCTGGGTTTTAAAGAACTGGGGCCAAGTTCTTCAAAGACCTACGGGGTCAAGTGGAAACGCCCAACAGTGAGTCATGAAGAGCTGCCCGAGGCAGATTTTTTTTAGAGTGCAGAAATTCACTTAATAAAACAACAACTAAGTCTTTTTCTTTTGAGGAGTCCTGGGTGCTCTCAAGGTCCAAAAAGACGATCAGGTGATCGCAAAAACGGTTCAGCTGCCATAAATCCAAGCGGGTTGACGCGTGTCCACAGGGATTGTAATTTTAATTTAATTTCATTTTCCAAAGCCATTGTAACTTCAGTCATTAAGTGAACGGGTTATAAGTCAGGGACTATCTACAGCAGGGGTCTTCCAACTTGGCCCTTTTATGACTGGTGGACTTCAACTCCCAGAATTCCTTGTGCCTGGCTGAGGGATTCTGGGAGTCGAAGTCCACAAGTCATAAAGAGGGCCAGGTTGGAAGACACCCCCCCCCCCGATCTATAGTTTGAAAAGTGGCTAGACAGGTTCAGGTGAGATCAGCCTACCTGGTGGCTGGCTGTTGATGGTCGGTGCTGGCTTAGGGGTCCCCCTGAGGGCATCTAGCTGACCCCCCTGGGGCTTCACATCCTGCCAGCGTTCTCAAGTTCTTCTGCCATTTAACACCTCAAGAAACGCCTTTGTCTCTTTGACTCTTTCAGGAAATGTGCCGCAACCCCCTTTTCATCGTAGACGGCGCCACACGGACCGATGTTTGTCAGGGAGCTCTGGGTGAGTGGTGAGATCCGCAGCCACATGGGCTTCCACATCCCTGGGCCCCTTTGGGTCTTTTTTTCCAATCTGACGGGAGTGGGAAAGCTTAAGATTTAAGGTTTTTTTTCCCCTTCCTGCCTTCCTTTATTTTTACAAATGATGCAAGGTGCAAATACTGTATATTCTCCTTCTTTTAATAATAATAATAATAATGATAAAGTTGGAAGGGACCTTGGAGGTCATCTAGTCCAACCCCCTGCTCAGTTCTTTCAAGAAGGGATTGGACAACCGTTGGTCAGGAATGGCATAATAAGGTCTCCTGCTTGAGCAGGGGGTTGGACTAGAAGATCTCCAGGGTCCCTTCCAGCTCTGTTCTTCTGTATACCATTCAAGTCAAAGGGCTGCCCAGTCTTTTCTTAAAAATCTACGGTATTGGTGCACCCACAACCTCTGGAGGCAGGCAGTTCCACGGGTTAATTTTTCTCACTGTCGGGAAATTCCTCCTTAGTTCCAGGTTGGCTCTCCGTCTGAGCAGCTTCCACCCATTGCTTCTTGCCCCAGCAGTGACAGGAAATTATTTCTGCTCTTCCCTCTGGTTGCTTCCACACCCCTCTGTCAGTTATCTGATCAGGGAAATACCACACCCCTCCCTCCCTCCCTGTGTCTCAAAGCCAGCTTTGGGGCTGAGAAACAGGTTGCAACTTGTAGTAACTCCAGACAGTGCTTGGCATCTCTACCACCCCTTTGTAAGTCCCTCCCTACCCATCCTGGCCCTGCAAAATTGCAAACCGATTGAATGACGCATCTTGCACAAAGCCCGGCCTGGCTTAAGTCTAGTTTGTCCCATAAGCCACAGCCGGCTGTGGGTTTTCACACAGCACAGCCTTTTGAACTGTTCAGGGTGCGTGAATCAAGTTACAGCAGTAACAACAAAGCCAACAAGGCACATTTTTGCAGTTCAGGATTCTTGACACAGATCGATAGAAGCCCTGTGGTTTTTTTTTTTTTTTTTTTTTTTTTTTAGTTTATCCAGTCCCGTCGGGAGCTGTCAAGAATTCATCCTGCGATCTTTTGTATAGAAAAATTAGTCTTTTTTATCCGTCCAAATCTATCTTAGTTTCCCAGGTTTAGAGTAAAGACAGGCCTCAACTTAACCACCAGAATTAGAGTCCTACGTTGTGTGCCAGTCATTAAGCGGGTTGCCACAGAACCGCCTCCAAATTTCGTGGCCAATTTTGCCGTGGCGGTTAAGCGAATACTGCAGTCATTAAGCAAATGGATCATCTAAAAAAAACAAAAACTCGTAAACTGTGATTCTGGGACTGCAGGATGCTGCAAATGGCTGTAAATGTTTTTTGTTTTTGTTTTTTTCTTCTCTTTTCTGGAAACCAATGTTTATTTTTGGTTTCTGGGGGCGTGGAGTCCATTGCGGTTTCACGTAAGGACTGCCACACAAAATGTCGTAAAATCGAGTCAACAACCGGCACAACTGTCCTTCCAGGCTCAGTTATGGTCTGAAGCTGAGGACTGCCTGTACATGATAGGTATCTAAGAAAGAAGAAGATTAAAAAAACTAAAAAAAAGATTGAGGTCTTTTTTGGTTTAATCAGTGGAACAGTGTATCTTCCGAAGCTGTGGGTCCTCCATAAGTGGACAGAAGAGACTGTACAGCTATTGTCCAAAATGGTGTAGGGTCTCCAGCTGGAGCAGCAGGGTGGACTAGAAGACCTCGCAAGGTCCCTCCCAACCCTGTTATTCTACGTTCTGATTTTTTTGTGGCCTCTTTCTGCATAGTAGGCTGAATTTTCTGGAATCGCTCTCTCTAGGGGACTGTTGGCTGTTGGCTGCCATTGCGTCGCTCACGCTGAATGACCCCCTTCTCCATCGCGTGGTCCCCCATGGACAAAGCTTCCAGAATGGATATGCTGGACTCTTCCACTTCCAGGTAAATACCTCTCCAGTCCTTGGACCCAGGGCCCATGGATTCCTTTCCTCTTTGTTTTTGAAATACAAGCAAGGTGTTAGCCCTGCGAGGTAGTCCAGAGAAGAGGTGCATCCTGGAGCTATAGCAATAGCACATAGACTTATATGCCGCTTCACAGTGCTTTCCAGCTCTCTCCAAGCGGTTTATAGACAATCTGGGTCCTCCTTTTACCAACCTCGGAAGGACAGAAGGCTGAGTAAACCTTGAGCTGGTCAGGATCGAACTCCTGGCTGTGGGTAGAGTTAGCCTTCAATATTGCATTCTATCCAGCAGGACAAGAAGCAATGGATGGAAGCTAATCAAGGAGAGAACCAGCCTAGAAATAAGGAGAATATTTCCTGACAGTTAAAACAATTAATCAGTGGAATGGCTTGCCTTCAAAAGTTGTGGATGCTCCAACATTGGAGGTTTTTAAGAAGAGATTGGACAGTCATTTGTCCTGTTTGAGCAGGGGTTGGACTAGAGGGAGGGAGGGAGGGAGGGAGGGAAGGAAGGAAGGAAGGGCCTAAATACATAGATATAATAAGTGAAAGGAAGGAAGGAAGGAAGGAAGGCCTAAAAACAGATATAAAAAGTGAGAAATTAAAAGGCAGGCAGGCAGGAAGGAAGGAAGGAAGGAAGGAAGGCCTAAAAACATAGATATAAAAAGTGTCTGAATTTTGATCATGTGACCCTGGGGATGCTGCCACGGTCCTAAGTGTGGAAAATGGTCCTAAGTCACTTTTTTAAGCGTTGTTGTAACTTTGAACGGTCACTAAACAAACAGCTACAGGATTCTCTGTATAGAAGCCACTGAATAGGGCTGACCATAAATTTAGGATTCTTGATTTCTTTTTTGTCTTCTGCTCCTTGAAAACAGATTTGGCAGTTCGGGGAATGGATCGACGTGGTGGTGGACGATTTGCTCCCGACAAAAGACGGGAAGCTGGTGTTTGTCCACTCTGCCGAAGGGAACGAATTCTGGAGCGCCCTCCTTGAAAAAGCTTATGCCAAGTATGTATTATTTATTGCTCTATCTATTTCTATTACCTACTTACCTACCTACCTATCTATTTCTATCTATCTATCTATCTATCTATCTATCTATCTATCTATCTATCTATCTATCTATCTCTATTATCTACCTACCTATTTCTCTCTCTCTCTCTCTTTCTGTGTATATATATATTTATCTATCTATTTCTATTACCTACCTACCTACCTACCTACCTATCCATCCATCCATCCATCCATCCCTATCTATCTATCTATCTATCTATCTATCTATCTATCTATCTATCTATCTATCTATCTATCTCTATTATCTACCTACCTATTTCTCTCTCTCTCTCTCTTTCTGTGTATATATATATTTATCTATCTATTTCTATTACCTACCTACCTACCTACCTACCTACCTACCTATCCATCCATCCATCCCTATCTATCTATCTATCTATCTATCTATCTCTATTATCTACCTACCTACCTATTTCTCTGTGTGTGTATATATATATATTTATCTATCTATTTCTATTACCTACCTACCTACCTACCTACCTACCTATCCATCCATCCCTATCTATCTATCTATCTATCTATCTATCTATCTATCTATCTATCTATCTATCTCTATTATCTACCTACCTACCTATTTCTCTCTCTGTGTGTATATATATATATTTCTCTCTATCTATTTCTATTACCTACCTACCTATCCATCCATATCTATCTGTCTGTCTGTCTGTCTCTCTATCTCTATCTCTATCTCTATCAAATATTGAATTAAGATAAATCCATGATTAAAATCACCGCCATATGGCACCATGGAGTTGCAGGAGGATAAATGCTACCATTCAATCTCTCCCGAGGGTGAACGGCTGCTATGAAGCCTTATCCGGCGGAAGCACCTCCGAAGGCTTTGAGGACTTTACAGGCGGGGTTACCGAGTGGTACGATCTGCGGAAGCCTCCCGGCGATCTCTTTCAGATCATCTTGAAAGCCCTGGAGAGGGGGTCTCTCATGGGCTGCTCCATCGATGTGAGTATATCGGGGGCGTCATCTCGCCTTTGCTTAAAGGTGGGCTCCTAAGTGGACTCCCAAGTCCTCGGACAGTTAGCAAGCTTTATTACTATGTATTATTAAGGTAAGGTAAGATTAAGAGATGATAAGATAAGCTTCATGGTCACTTTTTTCTGTGAATACGCCGGCACACGTTTAAAAAATGAAACTCTGACGCCCGCTCTCATTATTTTACTATTTATTAAAATTTTTATGCAAGGCGACTCTGGATGACTTATAAAACAAGTGAATGTCATTAAAATGTTGACACATGAAAATTACGCAGATTAAAGTATTAAAGACTGTACTAAAACCAGAGCTAAGAGATGGACGTCTATAGCTGCTGTAGTCCTTGAGTTACAGCTATAATGGAGTCTGCTCATCTCGGTCGTTACTCGCGATGGTCTCCCATCAGGTCATCCCTACGACCGACCTGATTTCACCACCAGCCATTAAGCAAATGGTCTGACACCAGCCATTAAGCAAATGGTTGTCAGACCATTTATGACGGTTCCTAAGTGACCATTCATAAGTCGAGGACTCTCCTGTAGCTCCACTCCACTTCCACCAGGGCATTCAAAACTTGTGATGTAGGTTTTTCTCTTCTAACCCTTCTTCCTTTCCACCCTGAATTCCAGATCACCAGTGCATTTGACATGGAAGCGGTCACGTTCAAGAAGCTGGTGAAGGGCCATGCTTATTCGGTCACCGGAGCTGAGCAGGTGAGAACTCTTGAACCTTCCCAAAAACCAAACTAGAAAGAGGAGAAGAATGTCAAGCGCTCGGGAAATCAGGAGATCCAGACAGTTCAAATGGGTTACAAAGATTTATTGTCAGCTTAAGGCTCCACTACTAAGAATCGGAACTACTAACAGTCAAGGCAAATGAGCGGGAGATAAGAAGCAGAAATGAATTCAAGGTGGGCTGGAATTAGATCTCGTGTGGGCACAAAAGGACTCATGACCGATGACGCGTTTGACTCTTCCCTCGCACACAGCTTGGTCACTTCCTACAGAAATATATTTTTACAGGCTGCAGACGGCCTTAAACAATATCGCTTTGGGTCACTGTATCACAAAAAAGATGTGGAGAGTTTGGAAAAAAAATTCAGAGAAGAGCAACTAAGATGATCCAAGGCCTGGAGAGTAAAACATACGAGGAACGGCTGCGGGACTTGGGTTTGGCTAGTCTAAAGAAAAGAAGAAATAGGGGAGACATGATAGCAGTGTTCCAATATTTGAGGGGCTGCCCCAAAGAAGAGGGGGTCAGGTTGTTCACCAAAGCACCTGAAGGCAGGACAAGAAACAATGGTTGGAAACTGATTAAAGAGAGAAGCAATCTGGAATTAAGGAGAAACTTCCTAACAGTGAAGACAATTAACCAGTGGAACAGCTTGCCACCAGAAATCGTGGGCGCTTTATCACTGGAGATTTTTAAGAAGAGACTGGACAGTCACTTGTCTGGGATGGTATAGGTCAAGGGTAGGCAACCTTGGCTCTTTTATGACTCGTGGACTTCAATTCCCAGAATTCCTGAGCCAGCATGGAGATGAAGTCCACAAGTCATAAAAGAGCCAAGGTTGCCTACCCCTGGTATAGGTTCTCCTGCTTGAGTTGGGGGCTGGACTAGAAGACCTCCAAGGTCCCTTCCAGCTCTATTCTATTCCATCTATCCCACGCCATGTACAGATAGTCCTCGATTTACATTTGTTTCACAGCTGTTTGTAGTTACAACAGCCCTGGGGATAAAGAAGCGACTTAGGATTGGTCCTCACACTGACAACCGTTGCAGCATCCCCATGGTCACATAGTCAAAATTCGGGCGCTGGGCAACTGGCTTGTATTTTACAACCGTTGCAGCATCCCGGGGTCATGTGATCACCCTGGGTTGATTTTCGACAAGCAAAGATAATAAGGGAAGCCAGGTTGATTTGCTTAACCACCTTGGCAAAAAAAAAAAAAGGCACAAGTATCTTGTTTAACAATGGAAATTATCTTCCCAATTATAGCCATAAATTGAGGCCTGCCTGTAACACAGTTCCAGCAATTGCGTCGAATTTATTCTTTGGCACTACAAACCACACCGGTCTGTTATAGGATTTGCATTCAGCACTCGAGACCTCAACCTGCACATTTCTGGTGTCTGGTTACCATGCTGTGTACGAATCTGGCAGTGGTTTAATTGCATTAAAACCACCATGAAACCACCTTGGTTGAACTCGGCGGCTGACGACAATCTCTGCCTTCCAATAGATCAACTACCGAGGACAGCGCATCAGCCTGATCCGGATGCGAAACCCGTGGGGAGAGGTAGAATGGACGGGAGCGTGGAGTGACAGGTGACATGGCCCTCCTGGGGTTGGTGAACTACAACTCCCAGCGTCCTTTGTCTTGAGGCTGCCCTTGCCTGGTTTTAGGGAGAAGAAAAACACCAGAATGAATGAAGCTGATTTTCATCCGTGTTTCATTCATTTCCATAAAGGTTGCCCAGTTTCAAAGTAGAAAAGTAAACCAATGTTTTCTCAAACTTGGCAACTTTAAGATGCTGGCTGGGGAACACTGGGAATTGAAGTCCACGCATCTTAAAAGTTGCCAAGTTTGAGAAATACTAGAATAGACCAACCCAGAGCTTATCAATCGGATGTTTTTGTGTGGTCTCCCTGCCTGTTCTCAAAACAGCCCTGGGCATCGTATCTAACCAACATTTGAATATGCTAGCATTTGAACCCAGCTCTCTGCAGTCTTGGCAGTCTTACCATTTAATCCCTGTTGGTAAACGATTAAAAAACAGGCCCCATGAAATTTGGGCTTGTTTCTGGATTGCTTGTTTGTTAACTTTACATAATTAAAATTATACAAGCTTTTTGCCAGTTTCCTTTCCTGGATGGATGCACACGCATCGATCCCCTGCCAGCCTCATTCACACACAATCCTCAGCCCGCCTGCAATCTGCTTTGTTTCCTTTAACAAGCCTTCTTTTTATTTTTATTTTTTTTTTAACAGTTCTGGAGAGTGGAATGCAGTGGAGCCGGCTGTGGGGCCGCAGCTGAGGGTGAAAATGGAGGATGGAGAGTTTTGGTAGATCTGACTTTTATCTGAGTTTTGCCAGAACTTTTTGTTTTATTTAAATTTAAAAAGAAATGGGGAAGATGCCGCCACCGTCCTGTCCTTGCTGTAGGTTTTTGATTTTGCATCTACTGTTTAACATTAGTTTAATATTGATGAGTTTTATTGTAAGCCACCTGGAGTTTTGCAGAGTGAGATGGAGGCGAAGGAAGGAAGGAAGGAAGGAAGGAAGGAGGGACAGAGAGATCAGATAGAAATACAGAGTGCATAGTTGATATAGTTAGAAAGATGTATAATAGATAATACAAGTATCAGATAGAATAGATGATTGATAGATTGATAGAGAGATATATAGATGGACAGATAGAGGACTAGGTAGATGGAGGGAGGGATGGACACAATATCAGATAGAAATATAGTGGATGGATGAATGAATGGATAGATAAGTAGATACATAGATGATAGAGGTATCAGATGATAGATAGATAGATAGATAGATAGATAGATAGATAGATAGATAGATAGATAGATAGAAGATAGATGGATAGATAGATAGATAGTAGATAGAGGATAGATAGATACAGTAGATAGATAGATAGATAGATAGATAGATAGATAGATAGATAGATAGATAGATGGTAGATAGAGGATAGATAGATAGATAGATAGAGGATAGATAGATAGATAGATAGATAGATAGATAGATAGATAGATAGATAGATAGATAGATAGATAGATAGAAGTTATCACTTCTATTTCAATGAAGTGGATTAATGACGTCAGGGCTGAGATGTCTAGCCTTGGATGGTGGGCAGAGAAATTCTAGGTTTTTTTTTTTTGTAAGAAAATAAAATCTATGCATGAATCATTTAAAAGCAATCCCGTGTTTTTGGGTGGGTGGGGGCTGCTCTTTTTCTACTATCAGGGGAAGTTCCCAAGTTCTGCCTCTCCCCGACAAAAGAGCCGGGCGTCTACAGCTTTTGCTCCCCCGTTGTAACTTTGAAGGCTTCAAAACGCAGCCCTTGAACTTGCTTCTCCTCTTTCCTTCCAGGATGTCCTTCCAAGATTTCCTCCGCGAATTCTCCCGTCTCGAGATCTGCAACCTCACCCCCGATGCGCTGAAGGCTCGCAAATTCCGAAAATGGAACACCACGCTGTATGACGGCACTTGGAGACGAGGGAGCACGGCTGGGGGCTGTAGAAATTTCCCAGGTAGAGGATGTGATTCTCTCAAGCTCAGCCCTGCAATCCTTGTGATTGTGATTTAATGGTGTTTTTGCTGGAAGCCGGTGTTCGTTGACCTGCTTTTAGGACCTGTCAAGGTTCCGACTCACGAAGCCGACCGAGCAAGCCCCCGCGAGACAATCCCGTCTCTTAATGCAGAACTTTATTGAGTACAGCGTTTGGGCACAGATGAAAGCAAAACCAGCTCTGGCAAGACCCTTCCCAAGCCCATATAGTAAAAGCATGGAATTCTCCCTCCTCCCTCTTGGATCGGTTCACGTTGCCCCATTAAGCAGAAAAATATCGTTATGAGAAAGTGTCTCCCGGTCTAGCCAGACATCTGGCACGGCGTCCTTGATTCTCACAGTCTGGCTTCTCGATCTTTGCAGTCTGCATTCCAATCCCTTTCCCTCCCCCCCCCCCAAAGTTCGTTGGCAGCAATAATTACAGCACCAGCAAAACCACGCTTCAAAACAGGATCGTAATTTCCAGGGTGTGTTCTGGTCATAAATTGAGGACCAGGCAAGACACGTTGAGGGACCCTGGTCAATGTCCGACCGCGCCAATTTTTCCTGCTGGCTTTCTTCCATCTTTTTCTCCCCTCTGGTCTCCTCCTGCAGCCACCTTCTGGATTAACCCGCAGTTTAAAATCCGGCTTGACGAGATTGATCATGAGGACGAAGATGGGCGGAGAGAGCCCGGGTGCAGCTTCCTTTTGGCCCTGATGCAGAAAAACCGTCGCCGGGAGCGGCGGTTGGGCAAGGACATGGAGACCATCGGCTTTGCCGTCTACGAGGTAACGCCCAAAGGGCTTCTCACCCCCCCCCCCCTGGATGTCCCTCTGAACTTGGATGGTTCCTCTTCCGAAATGCACTGATTTTGTTTTTTTTTTTCTGTTTTTTCCAGGTGCCTCCAGAGGTACGTTGGCAAAAATCGGTCCGGCACGGTAACGGTCATGGGTTCAAGCCTTGGGTCCAGTGGTGGGATTCAACCAGTTGGCACCGGTTCGGCAGAACCAGTAGCTTAATTTTTTCTTGCCCAGGCCCAGAATGGACTTCCAGAAGCAGCATCCACACAGAGAACCGGTTGTTCTCCTATTTGAGTCCCACCACTGACTGGTTGTTCCCCTGTTTGAATCCCACCCCTGCTTGGGTCCCATGGCAGTAAAGATCTTCCAGGATTCCAGACCAATAAATCGTTTCCCCAGCTTGAAGAGGTCAGGAGTAAAACTGGAATTCTAAGATCCCAGCCCTCTTTGTTTCAAATAAAGAGCAAGGGCTGATTTAAATCTAGGTCCGTCTTTGCTCAGTGCAGGTAGACTCCTGCTCTCCCAATACAGGTATTCCTCAACTTACAACTATTCATTTAGTGACTGTTCATACTTACACTGACAAGTGACTTAGGACCGTTTTTCACACTTACGACCATTGCAATATCCCCACGGACACTTGATCAAAATTCAGACACTTGGCAACTGGCATGTACTTATGACTGTTGCAGTGTCCCGGGATCACGTGATCCCCTTTTGCGACCTTCTGAGGAGCGAAATCGATGGGGGAAGCCAGATTTACTTCACAACCGTGTTGCTAACTTAACAACTGCAGTGTTTCACTTCACAAATGTGTTAAGAAAGGTTGTAAACGGGGGCAAAACTCACCTAAGAACTGTCTTGCTTAGCGAACAAAATTGTGGGCTCAATTAGTCACAAGCCGAGGACTGCCTGTAATTTTGGGCTGGGGTCAGGGGCTTGAGGAAAAAGCTAAGATCCTAGTCCTCGTGGTTCTAAACAAAAACTAGATTTAGGAACGCCCAATCTATCTCGTTCGGCTCAGGTGTCTACTCATTATTAACCGATCTCCAGCTTGGCAGGCAAGTCTTAGCCTCAGGATCCTTTGGATCTCTCCGGGGATCTCGGTGGGAGGGAATCCCTGGATTTTTTTAAATCAAAATTCCTCTTTTTCTCCGCAGTGCAAGGGGCAGCCTTCGGTCCACCTGAAGCGGGATTTTTTCCTCTCCAACTCTTCCCGGGCCCGATCGGAGCAGTTCATCAACTTGCGCGAAGTCAGCACTCGTTTTAGGCTGCCCCCAGGTGAATACATTGTGGTCCCTTCGACTTTTGAGCCCAACAAGGAAGGAGACTTTGTACTTCGCGTGTTCTCAGAAAACAAAGCCGGGACCGTGTAAGTCCTCCTTTTCTAGGGCTTTGTCGAGGGTGGGGTTTATACCAAACTCTGCATGAAATCATCCTGGCTTGGGCAAACCCTAATGGCTTGGCTCATAAAACAGCCAGCCCTGGATCCTTTCAAAATTAAGTACAGGTAGTTCTCCACTTACTGAATTGAATAGAATATGGAATGGAATGGAATAGAATAGAATAGAATAGAATAGAATAGAATAGAATAGAATAGAATAGAATAGAATAGAACTGGTTGTTCACATATTTGAATCCCACCACTGGTTCTGTTTTTTTCTGCAAAAAATGCCCTTTGCGGACCATTAATTATTGTGACGTTCACTTTACAACAGCTGTGCTTGTTTAATGACCGCTGCAGAAAGAATCCTAAAATCAGATCGGTCTCGTGATAACCTGATTAATGACTAGCGTGGCTTAACGATCATAGTTCCAGGCTCCATTATCATCGTAAAATGAGGACTACCTCTATTTTAGGCTGTGTTTTTTTTTTCATTTTGTTCTTTCTTTGTTTCCATCCTTCTACAGGGAGATGGATGATCAGATCCAAGCCAACCTTCCCGATGAGGTAATTTCCCCCCTTACATTTGGGGGAAATTCAGGAGCAAAAAATAAATTTCCCTTCCCCATCAAAAGGAAAACTACATGTCTTCCTTCATAGAAGGATCCGCTTGAGACAAGATGGAGGGTTTTAAACCAGCTTCCCCTGTTGATTTTATTCGCCGGAAGCCGGCTGGGGAATTCGGTCTTCGTTTTCTGACGCCATCTTCCTTTTTCCCCGTTTGTCTAGAAAATTCTTTCGGAGCGTGAAATTGATGAAGGCTTTAAACAGCTGTTTAAACAGCTGGCAGGGGCTGTAAGTACACATGAGAAAGAGCACTATTTTTTAAAAAAAATTAAAGAATTATAAATAAAAATTGAGCTGACGGTAAAAGGGGAGAGAAAGAGATGGGGGATAATTAGATTAATTCATTTTAATTTTAAGCTATTTTACTTTTACGTTTCCATTTATTACGTGAATTTGTCCCCAGTCTTGGAAATGGTTTTTAATGATAGTTTTTACAAAGCAACGGTCTAGTGTTGTATTTTGATGCAAAGAAATGAATACAGTGTAAATATTAATAAATAATAGTAAAACAAAAGTATAGAAATAGGAAAAAATGGGGGGGGAAGTTATAAGGAAATGAATACAGTGTAAATATTAATAAATACGTCATGGTGAAAAAAAGTATAGAAAAAAGAAAAAATAGGGGGGAGAAAGTTGTAAGCCACTCAAGAGTCGCCTTGAACTTCAAGACGGGCAGCAAATAAATTTCCTGAATAAATAAATAAAATAGTTTAAAATACTTAAAACAATTAATAGTTAAATTAACCAGTGGAACAACCTGCTTCCAGAAGCGGTGAATGCTCCAACACTGGAAGTTTTTAAGAAGAGACTGGACAGCCGTTTGTCTGAAATGGTATAGGGTTTCCTGCCTGAGCAGGGGGTTGGACTAGATGACCTCCAAGGTCTCTTCCAACTTTATTATTATTGTTGTTGTTATTGTTGGAGGGGGAAGCCTGCATTTCAAACTAATTGGAGAATGTGATTTATGACTGTTAATTGGAAGAGGGAATTGTGCTTTGATACAATTCAGTTTTTGGCTGGTCTGTTGTGTGGATGTTTGGGTGGTTTTAGGGGTGGGGAATTGTGGTGGGTGGGAGTGTGTTTGGGGATTATGTGTGTAGTACCTAGTCTTTGGGTGTCAAGTAAATTTCGTTGTAAGTGTATATTGTGTATACACATACAATGACAATAAAGTTTATTATTATTATTATTATGTTATGCTACTCGAATAAAGATTATTTAAGGTAAACAATGCCTCAAAGTTCTTTCGAAGGGTTTCATCTGTCGGAACCATGACATTTGTTATTAAAATATAAAAAGTCAATAAATAGTAAAGAGGAATAAATAGTAAAAAAAATAAATAAATAAGTAGTAAAAATTTAAATAGGGAAAAAATACATAAATACTAAATAGCAAAAATAAATAGTAACAAAGAGAAAAACCGTAGCAATAGTAAGGGAAAAAAAAAATAGGAGTTACTTTAGTTCAAAAATGTATATCAGTCCAATGGCCAATCTGACCTGTTCCAGATTCAGGTTTTAAAATCCTTTTTTTTTTTTCCACACGATAAGGACAATCTAATTTCCTTTTTTCTTCCAGGATATGGAGATCAGCCCACGAGAACTGCAAACCATCCTCAACAAGATCATCGGAAAACGTAAGGGCCGAGATAGATCCTCACCTCTCTGTGGCCTTTTTATTTTTTTTAATAAAAGAGAATAATACCTGTTTGGCTCCAAACCCTGCAATTTGGGAAGGGGCAAAGGCTGCTCTCAGCCCACCCCATCCCACAGGGTTTTTGTGGGTAAAATAGGAGACAGGACTATCGAGTTGACCAAATGATCACAACACAGCTCAACATCTTTGTTGCCAAGCGAGACATTTCTGAAGTGAATTTTGCCCCATTTTACGACCCTTTCCTGCCACGGTTGTTAAGTGAATCGCGGTGGCCATTAACTTAGTAACGTTGTCGTTAAGTGAATCTGGCTTCCCCATTGACTTTGCTTGTCAGAAGGTTGCAAAGGGGGGAGTCACGTGACCCCGGGAGAGGCTGCGACCGTCGTAAATACGAGTCAGTTGCCAAGGGTCCGAATTTTGACCATGTGACCACGGGGAGGCTGCAGGGGTCGTAAGTGTGAAAAACGGTCGTAATTCATCTGTTTTGGTGCCATTGTAACTTTGAATCATCACTGAATGAGCTGTTGTAAGCCGAGGATTACTGATGATGATGATGATGATGATAATAATAATAATAATAAGAAGAAGGAGGAGGAGGAGAGGATGGTGGTGGTGTTTGGAAGGGACCTTGGAGGTCATCTAGTCCAACCCCCTGCTCAGGCAGGAAACCCTATACCATTTCAGACAAATGACTGTCCAGTTTCTTCTTAAAAACTTCCAGCTTCTGGAGGCAAGTTGTTCCACTGGTTAATTGTTCTGTCGGGAAGTTTCTCCTTAGTTCTAGATTGCTTCTCGCCTTGATTCACCCTCTTTCCTTTCTTTGGTGTAAACTGCAGATAAAGATCTACGCACGAAAGGATTCAGCCTGGAGTCCTGCCGAAGTATGGTGAACCTCATGGATGTATCCTAATTTTCCTCAGCATAAGGAAGGGGGAGGGCCATTGTGTTATTTCAGAATATTGTTGTTGTTAGCTGCGAAGTTGTGTCCGACCCATCGCGACCCCATGGACAACGTTCCTCCAGGCCTTCCTGTCCTCTACCATCTTCTGGAGTCCATTGAAGCTCACGCCTGCTGCTTCAGGGACTCCATCCAGCCATCTTATTCTCTGTCGTCCCCTTCTTCTCTTGCCCTCCATCTTTCCCAGCATTAGGCTCTTCTCCAGTGAGTCCTTCCTTCTCATTAGGTGGCCAAAGGACTTGAGTTTCAACTTCAGGATCTGGCCTTCTCAAGAGCAGTCGGGGTTGATCTCCTCTAGGACTGACCAGTTGGATCGCCTTGCAGTCCAGGGGATTCGCAGGAGTCTTCTCCAGCACCAGAGTTCAAAGGCCTCCATTCTTTGGCGCGCGGCCTTCCTTACGGTCCAACTTTCACAGCCGTACATTGCAACTGGGAAAACCATTGCTTTGACCATACGCACTTTTGTTGGCAGGGTGACGTCTCTGCTTTTGAGTATGCTGTCTGGATTTGCTATAGCTTTCCTCCCCAGGAGCAAGCGTCTTTTAATTTCTTTCTTCTTCAGAATATTGCAGAATTACAGAATAGAGTTGGTTGCCTAACCTCGGTATTTTGGAATCTTTAAGCAAGAAATGGAGGCTTCTTGCTCTGAAAAGGATGGACGCTGCCTTGATTCAGTTCAATGATCACAAAGAGAGATTATTATTTTTTCCCCCCGTGGTTTTGCAAGTGAATGGTTGGGAAGGGAGGGTTGAATTTCTCTCAAGTGTGTCTCCTTAACAGCCCCTTCCTCCATCAGAAAGATGGGAATGGAAAACTCGGCCTGGTGGAGTTCAATGTCCTTTGGACTAAGATTAAAGAGTATCTGGTAAGTTTCCATCCATCCAGCTAGTTGAAAAGAGCAAACAGGAGCATCTTAGCCACGTTTGCAAAACCAGGTTTGCAATTCATAGACTCCCAAAAATATATACAGTATAAAACTTTTCAAAAAACTTTTTCAGGCAGTCTTCCGGAAGTTTGATTTGGACAAGTCGGGAAGCATGAGTTCCTACGAAATGCGAATGGCTCTGGAATCTGCAGGTGACACGCCCGTTTCTTGGAAGATTTGGCTTTCTTCCCACTTCTTATCGGCCTGTGCAGCAGACTAGCCCTCAAGGAGGGCTAAAAAACCATGATAATTAAAGCCCTGCCCAATTTTCAACTGGAGGATAACAGAGAATTTAACTTAGTCTCGTTTAATCTATTGACTTTAAATCTCGCCTTTTATGTGAGAGCTCCAGGAAACTCCACAGGTGTTTTTTTCCTATGTCTATTCCAACAACTACAATCCTGTGATATTGATTGTGTTAAGAATGTTTGTTTGGCACCCAGATCACCCAATCGAGTGGGGAACTTGAACTGAATCTCCCACTTTAATCCTGTTTCTCTACCTCAACAACTTTAATATGGGTGGGCTTCCACTTCCAGAATTCCCTAACCAGCATGCTTTAAGATGTGTGCAAATCCCAGAATTGCCCAACCATCATACTTTAAGATGGATGGACTTCAACTCCCAGAATTCCTCAGCTGATATGCTTAAAAGTAAGCAGACTTCAATTCCCAGAATTCCCAAGCCAGCATACTTTAAAGTAATAATAATAATAGTCAAGTTGGAAGGGACCTCGGAGGTCATCTAGTCCAACCCCCTGCTCAGGCAGGAAACCCTAGACCATTTCGGACAAATGGCTGTCCGGTCTCTTCTTAAAAACTTCCAGTGTTGGAGCATTCACCGCTTCTGGAGGCAGGTTGTTCCACTGGTTAACTGTTCTGACTGTCAGGAAGTTTCTCCTTAGTTCTAGGTTGCTTCTCTCTTTGGTTAGTTTCCATCCGTTGCTTCTTGTCCTGCCTTCAGGCGCTTTGGAGAATAGCTTGACTCCCTCTTCTTTAGGGCAGCCCCTGAGATATTGGAACGCTGCTATCATGCCCCCCCCCCTTGTCCTTCTCTTCATTAAACTAGACATCCCCAATTCCTTTTAGCCCCTTTTCTCTCTTTTAGTCCACAGCCTTCCTCTCTAAACGGGAAATTAATGTTGCTTTTTGCTCCTGGCAGGTTTCAAACTAAACAAGAGACTCTATGAACTGATCATCACTCGCTATGCAGAGCCCGACCTGGCCCTGGACTTCGACAACTTTGTCTGCTGTTTGGTGCGGCTGGAAACCATGTTCCGTGAGTTTTCCTCCCCTTCCCTGCTGTTTGGGGGGTGGGGAGGGACAGGGTACGGCCAAGTAATCCGATGATCCCGAATTAAGCCAGTTTGTCATACAGGTAGTCCTTGATTTACAACCACCGTTCAGCCCAAAATCTCTGTTGCTAAGTTGAGATATTTGTTAAGGGAGGTTTCGCCCCATTTTGCGACCGTTCTTGCTCCATTGGTTAACTGGATCATTGCAGTTGTTAACTTAGCCACAGGGTTGTTAAGTGAATCTGGCTTCCCCCCATTGACTTGGCTCATCAGGACGTCGCAAAAGGGGATCACGCGACCCCGGGACGCTGCGACCGTCATAAATGTGAGTCGGTCAGCCACGTGTCTGAATTTTGATCGTGGATACTGCAACGGTCCCAAGTGTGAAAAATGGTCGCAAGTCACTATTTGCACTGCTGTTGTTAACTTCAAACCGTCACTAAATGAGCCGTTGTAAGTCGGGGACTACTTGAATCCTCAGTGGCCTCCAGGTTTTCTGTGATTCTATTAGTCTGTGATTTTTCTATTCTGTTAATTACAGGGGGTTGGACTAGAAGACCTCCAAGGCCCCTTCTAATCTCGTGATTTATGGATGTATTGATTAATTAATCCTTACCTGCCTTTCCTTTCCAGGATTTTTCCAAGCCTTGGACACGGACAAAGACGGGATTGTCACGTTTGACTTGATTAAGGTAACCACGTCGAGGTGGACTACAATTTCCTAACCTTGCTGGGTGGGGAATTCTGGAATTTTCCAGAAGCCTTTGAGACCCTTTCACAGCTGAGCTTTCATCCTTGGAAATGCTTCAGCCGTCCTTTGTTTTCCTCTTCCCTCCCCTGCCCTTTTCCTCGCGGGCTGCGTCTTTCCAATTTCTAATCCCAAAGGCTTGGATATTTCTAATCTCTTTGGACAAGCGTTTGGGACCCAGAACGCTCTCAAAGACCCTTTTGTGATTTGTCTGGTGTGGTGTTGTTGGTTAAAAAAAAAGAAAATGTCTCTTGTGTCTTTTTCACAGTGGATACAACTGACCATGTTTGCCTGAAAAAAAGATACGGATCACGTCCCGTGCAACTCTGTGGACTTTTCATCTCCCCGGACATTTTGTTTTGAAAATGGGGGAGATTCTGACCTGCAAGTGCCTTGCGTTAACGCTTTTTCGCCGCTTCTGTTCCAAGGAGAAGAAACACACAAACAGACACACCCCCACGCTTCCAACTCGGAGTTGTTCCATTTCCTGTGTGGGCTCCTACCGGCACTGGGGGACCTGAATGCAGCTTCATTTCAAATGTCTGTCTTCACACCTGGTGTGATGCTGCTCGGGACTCGCACAGCGTTTGGCCAAACTCACAAAACTGCCTTGTCTCTCACGCCAACACAGCAGCACTCCCCAAGTTCACAAAATTGGGGGGGGGGGTACTCTTGGCAAGGTGGAATTACAGGTAGTCCTCAATTTACAACAATTAATTTAGTGCGCGTTGAAAGTTATAGGCGCTGAAAAAATAGGGACTTAGGACCGTTTTCGCCCTTATGACTGTTGCAGAATCCCGCATGGTGATGTGGTTTATATTCGGATGCTTGGCAACCGACTCACATTTATGACGGTTGCAGTGTCCCGGGATCATGTGATCCCCTTTTGCGACCTTCTGATACGAGGGGAGCCAGATTCACTTAACAACCGGGTTACTGATTTAAGAACAGCAGTGATTCGGTTAAGAAATGTGGCAAGGAGAGTCGTAAAATGAGGCAAACCTTCGTTAGCCATTTTCTCACTTAGCAACATAAATTTTGGGCTGAATTGGGGTCGAGGGCTACCTGTGCCTGGAAAACTCTCTCTTTTGGGAACCGCAAAATTGTGGACAAAAATGTATATTTAATCTTGCTGCAGACGTTAAGCGAGGACGAATCGGGCATCTTCGCCAGTTTATAGTTGAGCGCTCCTTTCGGTTTTTTTTTTTAAATACAGGTATTCCTCGACTTACAACCCCTTCATTTAGTCACCATTCAAAGTTACAACAGCAGTGAAAAAAATAACTTACGACTTGTCCTGGTCATGTGATCAAAATTCAGGCACTTGGCCACTGGCATGTACTTGCGACAGTTGGACCGTCCCGGGGTCACATGATCATCCTTTGTGACCTTCCCAGCTGGCTTCTGACTGGCAAAGTCAATAGGGCAATCCAGATTCATTTAACGACTACCTGATTCACTTAGCGACTCGAAGGGGTTCGCTTAACAAGCGTGGCCAAACCAGGTTGCAAAATTGGGCTCCACTCACTTAACAAACCACCTTGCTTAGCGGTGGGAACTCTGTCCCCAATTGTCGTCGTAAAGTTGAGGACTATCTTTATTTGCAGCGAAGAGAATGCCAGCGAAATTGACCTACTTTGCATTATGTCCAGCCTTCAAACTTCTTTTACAGGCCACCCCTCCTGTTTGCAAGGGGGGCTAAAAATCAGGAATTATCTTCACCCTTTGTTCCCAGCGGAGCAAGCAATATTTCATGGTTTTTGTTATGCATGTGTGTGTTTATATATAAATATATATATGTAATTTCCTGGACGCTCCTGGAAGCACTCCAGTGCCTAACCAACCTGCCTTCCAGGCCTTTGTAGGAGATTTTTTTTACCCTGCAAAGGTCAGTCTGGGAAATTCGGTGCCTAAAAACTGCAGTTGTTACACACTCCTTGCCTGTCTAATGCGCTTGCTGCCAAATATTTTTGATGGAGAGTTTGTGTCGTAACCCCTATCTGGGATTGCTAGTTGTACCTGTTATCAGAGAATTGGAAAAGCCTTAGAATCAGTTCTTGGACACGGTCAAGAGATCCCGTGTGCAGGACTTGATTTGCACTTCTCTTAAACCAGGGGTCTTCCAACTTGGCCCTTTGACGACTTGTGGAATTCAACTCCCAGAATGCCTCGTGCCTAGCTGAGGGATTTTGGGAGTTGAAGTCCACAAGTCATCAAAGGGCCAAGTTGGAAGACCCCGTCTTAAAGGTTCTCTGGTGCCACCATTTATGTTCTTATGCGTGTTTTTGTATGGTAGAAATGGATTTTGTTTCCATGCCAAAATAAAAGAAACTGTGGTAATGCTTAACACCACTAAACCGGCGTTGTGTGGTTGTGATTATTGCTGGACTTTCCACCAAAAAATGGGTGTTTCATCTCAGAAAAGGCAGATTTTTTTTTTTTTTTTTTTTGGGTGGGATCTGGATTGCAAATCTGGAAGTCTCAGGATTTGACTTTATATCAGGGGTCTTCAAACTTGGCAACTTTAAGACTTGTGGACTGGCTGGGGAATTCTGGGAATTGAAGTCCACAAGTCTTAAAAACTTGCCAAGTTTGAAGACCCCTGCTTTGTATCATTGGGAATCTTGTCATTTATTTGCCTTCACTGTGAGAGTCCTGATCTCCTCTATAATTTGCTTTTAATTAGGGGTTTCTATTCCAATCAGAGCCACTCCGTGAAATATTTTTTTCCCACGGTCGCCTGATACCTGCTGCTTATTTTGTTCTCCACAATCTCTGTAGTGAGAAGGCGAAAAAGCAGGGCCTGAGCACAAATTCTAGCCAAAAAAAGGCAGTTAGATGCAGGCTACTGACCTTTTTAAATCCTAGCTGATTTTTGTTTTTAATTACCTATTACTTTTCTTTCCTGCAATTTTTGTTAATTTGAGGTCTGAGCTCCAAAGGTCAGCCTGGGTGGCTCATGATGGCGAGTTTCGAATGTGGGTAGAAGCAGAAGTTTCATTCGGAAATGAATGAATGAATGAATGAATGAGAGGCAGTTTGGTGAAGTGGTTAAAGCACTGGGCTAAAAAGCGGGAGACGGTGAGTTCAAGTCCCATCTTAGCCATGAGAGCCAGCTGGGTGGCTTTGGGCCAATCACCAGGAGACGGTGAGTTCTAGTCCCGCCTTAGGCATGAAAGACAGCTGGGTGACCTTGGGCCAATCTCCAGGAGACGGTGAGTTCTAGTCCTGCCTTAGGCATAAAAACCAGCTGATTCCTTTGGGTCAGTCCCTTTCTCTCAACCCAACCCACCTCAGAGGGTTTTGTTAACGGGGAAAATAGGTGGAGAAAAATGGGTTGGATATCTTTGCCTCCTTGAACTATTTGTAAAAATAATAAAACACGGGATACAAATAAATAAATAAAATGTATTGGGTGGGGAGGTATTATACCAGACCGTCACGGATTTTGCTGCCTCATTGTAAGGCTGGCTGCAAACTTCTCTGTGCTAAAAAACACAGCGGCTGTGGCATTATCTCACACCGTAGGCTGTGTATCTCCCAGCTGCTTCTCCATCCGTCTTCTCCTGTGGCACTTCCTTGCCATTTTTGGAAGTATTACGGAGGGCGTCTCGAGGGCTCTGTTCAAAAGCAGGAGTGAACCTTCTACACCGTTGAGAACGTTGCTCCAACTCAACCAAGGCAGCCAAGCGAGAGACTGGCGGGATCTTCCTCCGAGCCGCAGACTTCAGGAACAGGTATCTCTGTTGGGTGACATCATGGAGAAGAAGCCCCCATGGCTTTGTACGGTCCTTCTCGTGATCTTCTGCATCCCCGGGATCTTGACTGAGAAGAGTAAGCTAGGGGTGAAAAGTGGGGGTCCCTTGAGAATCTTCACCTCTGAATCCATCTTCCCTTGACTGTGGATTCATGCAAGGTGTGTTTGGATAGCTCTGTGGGCAGGAAGCCCGCCCATTGATGGTCTTCTCTCCTTCTCTCATCAGTTCTGGAAGGCAAGGCCTTCGTCTTCCCCAAGACTTCTGCTGACTCCTACGTTCTCTTGAAGCCCGACTTACAGCAAGGGCTGAGACATTTCACCCTCTCCCTCGAATTTTTCACCGACTTGACCCGCAGCCATGTCCTCTTCTCGGCCGCTTCCCAGGATCACGACAACGAGATTCTCCTGATCCGACACCTTGAAGAATACCACACTTGTGTGGGAGGGGAGTGTGCCGTTTTCACAGTGCCCAGACTCGCAGCCAGGTCTACCTTCCGCTGGGAATCGGTTTGTACAACTTGGGATTCAACTACCGGGATTGTCCAACTCTGGCTAGATGGTCAACGCTTGCCAAGGAAAGGGGTAGCGAAGGGCTATGAGGTCAAGACGGATCTGGTGGTGATGCTGGGGCAAGAACAAGATTCCTACGGGGGCAGCTTTGACGGGGATGAGTCCTTTGTGGGAGAAATCGCTGAGGTCTACCTTTGGGACAATGTCCTGCCTGCCGAACAAATACGCAACATGCAGAAACACACCACGCCGGCCCCTTTAGTGGCCTGGACCTCGCTGAAGTTTGAAATCCAAGGCTACGTGTTGACGGAGCCTTTGTGAAGCCTTTGGTCAAAGAAGAGCAGGAAGTTCTCACTGCATCTCAGCGTTCCTCAACCATGGCTACTTGGAGATATTTGGACTTCAACTCCCAGATTTCCCTCCAAGCATGAAGAGAATTCTGGGCATTGAAGTCCACATATCTTCAAGTGCCGAAGGTTGAACAACCTTGCTTTGAACCTCTTAACCAGAGGTCTTCCAACTTGGCCCTTTGATGACTTGTGGACTTCAGCTCCCAGAATTCCTCAGCCAGGCACACAGGCTGAGGAATTCCGGGAGTTGAAGTCCACAAGTCTTAAAGTTGCCAAGTTTGAAGCCCCCTGGTATAAGAAAAACATTCCCTCTAGTGACCCTTGACTTTAGTGCAGGGGTCTTCCAACTTGGCCTTTTTATGACTTGTGGACTTCAACTCCCAGAATTCCTTAGCCAAGGAGTTGAAGTCCACCAGTCATCTAACGGACAAGTTGGAAGACCCCTGCTCTTAATCAACCAAGCAGTTTGCAAGATCCAAAGGAGCTCCATTGATTCTAGCCTCCCCCCCCCCCCATCGCTTGCCCCACAGGCTGTGTGATTGGCTGTGCTTGTTTTCGTGCCCGGTGCTGTTATTTTTTTAATTTGGATTTTAACAACCAACCCATCTGCCTCCCGCTGCGGGTCTCTAGGATCTTTTCAGGGAACCCAAGTCAAATAAATATCTAAACATCTCTCTTTTAATTTCTAATATGACGAATATCGATAACAAACCCCCTGTGGCTCCTCTCTGAAAAGAGAGAGAGTTTACTATTGAAAACTCAATAAATTGCTCTTTGAACAATTTTTTTTCTAATGCGATGCTAAATGGACCGGCCTTGATTCTTTCTGCCCACCGAGAAATTCTGTAAGAAAGAAATTACATCTATATCTTTGGTGTTGCTTGGATGGGCATCCAGACCTGTTTTATGTAACCCCCTTGGTTACTGCATTTTCTGAACGAAAGCGATAAAGATACAAACCGACAACCGCACTGGAAAAGGCACAACCTGCCCTATGAGATCTTCTGCAATAAACCTTGGCAGTGCCGTGTTTATGCTTTTTCTTGTTGTGTTATTATTTGGCATGCATCGGTGTAAATTTTGAAGATAAAATAAACTCTTGATGCCCAGAGCCACTGGAGGGCTTAAATTTTAGGTGGGGAGGACCCAACCACTATAAACGCAATCTATTGCAAGGGACATAATCCCCATCAGCCCCCACCCTGGAAAGCTGGCTAATGGCACCTGAAGTCCAAAGCATTTCCTGTAGCGTGCGTGCGTGTATATCCCCCCAAAATCATATTTTTAAATTAAATTTTCTTTAAACAATCAGCATTTTGAGGGGGGCAGCTTGTTCCATTTCTTGCTCTCTGTTGCAAGAATGGACAAACTCTATCAAACATGCCCACCCTGGAGGTGCCTGATGGAACTTGTAATCCAAAGCATCCCCAGTACAGGTAGTCCTCGAGCTACGGGCACAGTTGGGCCCCAAATGTATGTTGCGAAGTGAGACATTTGCTAAGTGGGTTTTGCCCCCTTTGATGATCGTTCCGGCCACAGTTGTTAAGTGAATCACTGCAGTTGTTAAGTAAGTAACATCGCTGTTAAGTGAATCTGGCTTCCCCATCATCAGGTGGTTGCAAAAGGGGATCACCTTTTTCATATTTATTTGTTACGTATATGTAAGGGTGTGGGGTCTATACATATGTTGTATATAGCATGTTTTAGGGGTGGGTCATGTATGTGTTTCTCTTTTGAGAGCGGGCAACTAAATTTCATTTTTGATGTGTGCCATGGTGCCCACAGTTTAAAAAAAAATGACAATAAAGGTTATCTTAGCTTACCTGAGCATGGGAGAGATGGCGACCGTTATTGATATGAGCCGGTTGCTAAGGATCTGAATTTTGACCACATGACCATGGGGTTGGTGCAACGGACCTAAGTGTGAAAAACGGTGATAAGTCACGATTTTCAGTGCCGTTGTTAACTTTGAACAGTCACTAAACGTACTGTTGTATATCAAGGACTACCTGTATAAGCCCAAGTCTCCCTCTGATCTCTCAGTCCTCTGCAAAGATAGAGATAATTTAAAAATTGGACCTTGGTGGGGGAGGGGGCAGGGGAAGGCAGCCTCCCACCGAAGAAAAGCTAAAGCTACCCCGGCCTCTAAGAATCAGAATAGATCTGGTAGGGACCTTGGAGGTCATCTAGTCCAACCCCCTGCTCAGGCAGGAAACCCTATACCATTTCAGACAAATGGCTGTCCAGTTTCTTCTTAAAAACTTTCAGTGTTGGAGCATTCATCGCTTCTGGAGGCAGGTGGTTCCACTGGTTAATTGTTCTAACTGTCAGGAAGTTTCTCCTCAGTTCCAGGTTGCTTCTCTCCTTGATGAGTTTCCATCCATTGTTTTTTTGTCCTGCCTTCAGGTCCTTTGGAAAATAAACTGACCCCCCCTCCTTCTTGTGGCAGCCTCTCAAATACTGGGATATTATTAATATTATTTATATTATAAATACTGTCATGTGAAAGGGAATGGCTGGCAGATGGGGTTTGTAGTCCAAGGAGTCCCCAGGAGAGGCAAAGGGTCCTCAGGTGTAGCAAAGCCTGGAGAAGGCAATACTTGTACAACAGGAGTCTTCAAACGTGGCTTTTAGGACTCGTGGACTTCAACTCCCAGAATTCCTCAGCCAGCCTCCATTTTGTTTGTTAGATTCAAGAGAAGGGTGGGCGTGGAGTAGGAGCGGGAGGCGGTCCGAGAGCGTTTGGCGGGAAAGACACGTGACTCATCACGGCCAGGTGTGTTGCGGCCGCCCAGGTGAGGGCAACTGGAGGCAGGCACGTGGTCTGGGCACGTGCTTTCATCTCTTCAAACTCGGCCCTTTTATGACTTGTGGACTTCAACTCCCAGACCGCCTGGCTGAGGAATTCTGGGAGTCCACAAGTCATAAAAGGGCCAAGTTTGAAGACCCCCGTCTTAAATCTAACAAACAAAATGGAGGCTGGCTGAGGAATTCTGGGAGTTGAAGTCCACAAGTCCTAAAAGGGCCGCGTTTGAAGAGCCCCTGCTGAACGCACACGCTCGAAAGCACGTGACCGGGCCGCGTGCCTGCCTCCAATTGCTCTTACCTGGGCAGCCGCAACACACCTGGCCGTGATGAGGCACGTGCCTTTCCCGCCAAACGCTCTCGGAACGCCTCCCGCTCCTTCTCCACGCCCATCTCTCCGGTGATTGGCTGCTGTGGAAATCCGTCCCCTCGGATTGGCCGAGGCGGCCTCTCTTCCCCCCTCCTCTGAGGGGCGGGGACGGTTTAAAAAGACGGCGGGCTCCTCACGCCGAGGCCAAAGCGCGAGCGTGCTGCAAGGGCAGCGGGTCTCGTCGCCGAAGACTTCGGACCTCGACGTTGCCTCTTGTGCCCTGAGGTAAGTCTGATGTAGTTGAGGCTCTAAGGCCTTGTGGGGTACGGAGGGGGGGAGGAAAGCTAATTAATTAGCCTATTTTGGGGGAGTCAGAACAGCACCTGAAGTAATTTTAACCGGGGTGGGTGTGTTTCCTCAGGAATAAAACGCTGAAGTAATACCTCAAGGGTTGTGTTGTTTAACTTCAGCCATGAAGTTACCTCAGTCCCACTTTGTTGTTATTAGGTTGGAAGGGACCTTGGAGGCCATCTAGTCCAACCCCCTGCTCAGGGAATAAGGCAAGGCTTCTGGGTCCTAGAATAATTTTAGCCAAGGCTAGAGTTTTAAGGAGTAAAATATGGGTGGAAGCTGAGGTAATCTCAGCTATGTCTTGTTTAAAAGGACCCAAAAAGTTTAAAAGTAGCTTAGGGGGAACAAAGCTGAGGCCATAATTTTAGCCAGGTGCAGTTAAAAGGGGCTAAACTACCCCAGGTGTGAATAAGCTTTAAAATTAGCTTAAAGGCAAAATTGCTTTGGTCCCCTGCAGTTGTTGAATATGTATTGATGTACGTTTAAAGTGGCAATAGTTATTCATTTTTCTATTCTAACTCTTGGGACCTGAGGAAATTTTAGCCCAGGTTCAAGTTCTTAAAACATGTAGAGGACTAGCTACTTCAAGTAAGTAAAAGTAAACTATTTGTTTTTATATATCGGAGTTAAAGTATTTAAAATTCTGTTCTTTGAATGTATTTACAATTGTTTGATCTTTATTTAAGTTGAAGGTTTTTTCTAGTTTTTATTAACCCTGTATTCAGCTCTGGGAAGGAGGGGGGAGGGTGATGGGGGGTTGGGGTGGGTGGGAGAGGGATTATTTTATTGTAAAACTAAAAATTTTCAATAAAAAAAATAAGTAAAAGTAAACTAAAGCTCCTTCAGGAGTTGATCTTACTTTCTTGAAATAAAGTCAAACCTTGGGGCCAATTTGTAAGACAAAGAACATAAAAGCAGCTTTGTAAAATTGATGAATTGGTTTTCTGGTCTCTGGTCATTTAGTGACTGTTGGCTTTTTTCTTTTTTCTTTTTATTTCAGAGGCACCCCGTGAAACATCACAACAGACAAGCAGACGAAGACATCAAAAGTAAGTCAGTTTTATTAACTTTTCTGCACCACACTTCACCAAGAAGTTTGGCAGGTACTGTTGGCAACAGATAGTTGATGCAAAAACTTTGGGGCCTTGCTGAAGCTTCAGGCATGTTTTAGTGAAGTTTTGAAAAAAAAAAGATACAAAGTAATGATGGTAAACAATTAGGTGTAAATATATGACAAATGTATCTAAAACTGGTTCTCAACCTTTTTAATGCAGCACCGTTTGCAGAATGGGACTTTTGGTGGGCTCAGCAGGGCAGAGACAGCCTGGACAATTCCTGTTGACTTTTGAAAGCCAATAGAATTAGACTCTATTCAAGAGAGTCTCTTCTATTGGCTTTCAAAAGCCAATAGAATAAAAGGGAGGAGCACAGCTAAGGAAAAGGGGGAAAAAAATGGCGGACTGCATTGTTTGGCGACCCCCGTAAAATGGTTGTTCGACCCCAAATGGGGTCCCGACCCACAGGTTGAGAACCACTGCTCTAAAACATAGATACAATTTCTGACTTGAGATAATTTTAGCCATTGGCTGTGGTTCTTAGAACCAGAGAGGGTCCCACAAGCATTTCCCATAGCAACACAGTGTGGAGATGGTGATGCCCCTACTTGGAGAGGTCCTTCAATCCCTGAGCTCCCACTTCATGACACTCAGGCTGAATGAGCCAGGGAGTCAGCCTGCTACCTGTCTCATTCAATCCCTGAACACACACATACACACACACACATCACACTGGGAGATTCATACTGGAGGGCCTCTCTGGGGTTCCACTGGGTGATCCTTTCAGTCCCTGAGTGAGCATTGAGGGCGAATCACCCTGGAGGAGTCAAGACCGTTCAGCTACAAGACTCCTTCAGTCTCTGAGGACCCCCTCAGTACTCCGACTGCAAGGGAATCCTTTTGGAGCACCTCCCTCCCACCTGCCAGTACCAGCCAGACTTCTTAAAACCAGACATGATGTATTGTATTTTAATATGACGCCATATAGAAATAAATGAGAAGATTTGTGGCTTATTGTTGAAATGAAGGATCCTCGGTGCTGTCTGAGCTTGGTGGTTTTCTTGCAGATGTTTCGTTACCAAACAAGGGAATATCAGTGCTAGAAGAGAGTGAGGTTTGCTCTCATCTTATGTTGTAGAGGCTTGTGGTTTCAGAGTTCATGAAAGTAGTCTTGGAAGTTTTTGGTTGGGCTATTTGTTAACTTGTTTCAGACTTGTTGGTTAGGGTATTGTTCACTTCTTGTCTGTTGGTCTGATAATCTTGGAGTTAACCTATGCTCATATAGATGCTGATTGCTGGTGAGGAGGTGTTTTTGTCCTTTAGATTGTTTTGGGATTCATGATTGTCTCTTGTGAACATATATAGGTAGTGTTTATGTCTGTGTCTATTGATGGTTAATTTGTCAGAGTCTGGCTTTTGGAATTTCATAGCGTGCTTGGCCTGGCCTACATAGTGACAGTTTCCTAGTTGAAAGTATTTAAGGCGGTTACCATGTTGTGAAAGTAAGGAGTATTC